ATGTCTTCATGTAACCTTATATATGTTAGGAAGACCCTTTACCCAAAGAAACCGAAAACCAAACCTAAAGAACCAAATGCATACATTTGATGACTTTAGAACAAATTTCCTCTCCTACAGTGGTAGGGATATTGAGGTTTTGGTAAAGAGATTTTCATTGCAAGCATTCTTTTACCTGAATCAGCAAAATGAATTTGCTTATATATAATATTAAGACTACACTTCTTATAATAAATTATCATTGATCCAATGCTTTCTAAACAGAAGAAACTCACTTATTTGATGTTAATAGACTCATTTCAATAAATACTGAATTTCTAAAATCTCAACCAATTGTATAGAGATTCTGATTGTTTAGAGGGAGTTTTAGTTTTTAGGTAAAATAAAGGTGGATTTTCTACGAAATAGGGAAATATCATGCGTATGCAAATCCAGAGATTAAAAAAAAAGTAAAATGGCTGCCATATATATCCCATTATTCTATATCGCACCCTTGATGAGCTCTGTTGTGGTTGACTAATGTTATGGTATATTAATACAAAATTACTCACATGTAACCTTAAGTATATCTAAATCAGGGACAAAATAAGTGTCATATGAGCCAGGGTAGAGGGGGCGTCATTATCCTGTCATTTTCTGTTCCGTGGTTTTATGTCCGTTACAACATACATGTATTAATCTGTCAGCTAAATGTCAGGCGGTGTTTATTTTTCCATGAGGCGTTTCTCTAAGGTTGCAGTTTTATTAGATATGCATGTAGATATGTTACCATGGTAATTTTTTTTTAATTTTATGCCCCTGCAACATTTTGGTGGGGGGGGGGGGCAGTTATAGTTAACCCTTTCACCACTGTAGACCATAATGGACCCCTCCATACCAATGCATGGTAGAGTCTACTAAAGTTACATAGGGCTGAAAGGGTTAATTAACACAGTCTCTCCAGCAACAAAAAAAATTCCTAACAGATTTTGAGCAAAATTTATACAAGGGTCAAATATCAAGCAAACCTGGAATGAGTTTGGAATTTCATGGTTCCAGGGTCACTTCTTACTATTTAAAGAAAAACAGCATCCAATTCAGTGATGCCACATACTTAAGCTACTTCATTTCTTAACGAAAATATATATACAAATGCCACATATGCAAAAATGTCTTGACGAGGTCATATTTCAGGGTGCCTAGGTCAAGTCGAAAAATATTTATAGAAAATTTTCAAACATGACTGAAAATAAGTTTACAAGGCTGAGAAATATGTTGATTGTGTTATAGACATTTTCTAGTGTTTAAGGTGTTTAATGAGACTGTGATGTCAATTACTATAGGATACCTCAGTAAATTTCTCAGTTTCAGTAACCTGATCTGAATTTGATTAAATTTCACTTGAGAGTAATTCAAAAAAGATTAATTTACAGCTAGGGTTAACTCTCAAAATTCTGCTGATATTGCATATTTTTTCAAGATTTGTCAAAAGCAATAAAAAAACATTTATTAAACGAAAAAGTTCAAAATAAAAATCCATATTGTGATATTTTCATTCTTAAATTATTTTAGAAAGTTCAAAATTGAGTACCACTACATGTAGTGTGATGTCAGTGTGCTGGCCCTAGGCTGGGTCGGTAAGTAAGATCTTATCCTGAACCAGTACCACTATACAACTGTATACACATATGTACACAAACCCTGGCCCCCAAGTACATGTGTACCAGGCTGTGACACGTTGCAGTCTGTCAAGTTGTGGTGTGAAACTTTGGAAACTCGACATCTGGGGAAGTCAGCAGAAAATCTCCCTAATAGGCAAAAATATTTTCTGGGACCATGATTTTGTGACAGATTATTCTCATGATGTGTGTTGCCAAGGTATATTTGCTGTGTTAAAGGATTACTTGGGGTGTCACGTCGGCCATGGGCCGGATTTACATTCTGGGTAGATCTACCTGGAGTGTGGATGTATAACAGAATGTTTATATATACCTGTTTGTGAATTGTGTCTGTTCGATGAACCCGAAACAGGTCTGGAAAGTGGAATTATTCCTGTGTCACGATTTCATGTAAATCATTCACTGGATATTGTTATTTTTTTGTGTCATGATTCGTAAGTTTCAAACTGGGACTTTTTTTTCCTGCAGTGTTATTGTTGAAATATATTTCGAAATCCATTTTGAGGAAGTGAAATTGTTGTCACTGCTGTGAGCCTGAAATTAATTGCCAACAGGTAAAATATAAACGAGGACAGATGTCTTGTCAGTTCACGTAAACATCAATCTTTCACCGATTCCCTGACGACAGGTATTTAGCTAGAAACAAGGGACTGTGTCAGTATCCATTGTTATTTAAGGTCAAGGTTCAGTTTGAGGTCAATTATAGTATATCAGTTACCTGTCATTTAAACCCTTTCTTTAAATAAGACAGTGTCTAGTATTGTCCCTTGTCAAAATACTTCAGGTTAGTTCATAAAATTGTCATGAAAAAACAACTATAGTTAATAAGATGTCGAGTAATATTTTGTGTAATTAATGTATATGTAAATTAAATCTGTAAATGAGGTTAATTGCTAATGTTAACGAGTACATACCTATAGGCATATGTATATACTGCATATAAATTTGAACATCTAAAGGAATTCTAAATCTATCACACTGTTATTACAACTTGTCATGCTAGATCTGATAGTGTAAACTTGTCTAAGTTAAGTGTTTAAAGTAAGTCAATCTTCGTACACTCTGAGTGAAAACTATCTAAATAAATCTTAGGGATTACAGTTATCTGTATACTCCACCACTTCTAATCTTTGTATAGGATGTTGTTTGGGCGGATTTAGACTTAAGTACAGCCAGGAATTTTTTGTCAGGTGATTTGTTTAACAGTTTGGAATTCTTCAAAGAATTTCTCATGTAAACTTGCTTGCTCAGATAAAAATTCGTTTGAAATTTAAGATTTATACGATAGTGACCAGACCAGCTGTTTTACCTAGAAATACAGGTTTGCTTTGTGTTAGGTTTAAATAAATTGATTTAAACAATTTTATATCTCAAAGAATTTTCATGGAAAAACATGAATAAAAATTAAAATCATTTATATAATATCATATGTGGTTATTTTTAACTCCTTTTGAATAAAACTATATCAACATTTTTACCTGGAAATACTGGTTTGCTTTGTGATATACCAGACATAGATAAATAAATTTTACATCTTGATAAATTTCTATTGAATAGCAAAAAATTCAAATCATTTATATGAAGTCATGTGTAGTTTAATTTAAGCTCCTTACGCAAAAGCTATATCAGCTTTTGAAGAAAGTCAACGTGATTTTGATTTTTTTTTTTCAAATTGAATGTCTGTGGTTTGTTGATAAATATATTTGTTGTCTTTACAATCCACAGTGTACTTTAGATAACACGCAATACTGAAAATATCCTATTGACGTCAATGTTTCTGTTTGAGCAATTAGCGTTGATTGTTTTTATTTAGTGGTTTTCCAGGAAACGTGTCACAATCAGTAACTGTCATCTGTCAAAATCACATGAATGAAACAATATTTTTTTTTTCATTATTTCCTATTTCTACTGAACGACAATTTTTAAGGGAGGATTTCTTTTGTACCGTAATATATCTTAAAAAACGACTACAGATGTGCTTAATTTAGCATTAGGTTGGTTCTGGTATGTAGTTCAAAGCTTACCTGTATTAACCCTTTCACCACTGTAGACCAATATGGACTCATCCAGATCAATGCATAGCATAGTCTACTAAAGTTACATAGGGTTGAAAGGGTTAAATTACCTGACAGAGGTACCTGTATACATAGATAGATTTTGTAGGTACACGGGCCAGGGGTTATGTTTTATTTGTTGACTTTGGAACATGATCCTTTAATATCGTTGATCCAGATTGAGGTTGAAGGTCATTATACATATTGTGTGCAGTTATTGTAATAGTATTATTTATCCAATTTAGAAATATATGTACTCATAAACATATTAGTACAAGATTAATTGTAATAGTTTCCTACCTGTTGTTGCAGACATAGTTGATTGGTAATTCATTATTGCTGGTCACTGCAGTATATTATACTAACGAGTTTTCGATCTACCTGTACATATATAGGTGTAGACAGGTGAAACAAGGTAAATACACCTGTATATACATATGTCAGAGGATAGTCTGAATGATACTCATAGGATTGGCAAATTCAGTTTTTACCTGTTCTATGTGTAATTTATAGGTAACGTTCATATGAAATCTACCTGGAGTTTGTGATTAGCTAACGGAGATTATCACTGACGACAGATCAGAATCGAGACTCACTGCAACTAGTGCTAATTGTCTGCATGTCTAAAACAAGGATATTTGGTAGTACTACTACTACTCAGTGGTTCTCAATTCAAGAGTTTGACCAACTCTACTGAGGTCAGTTGTGGTCAAGGTGGTCAAGGTGCACCCTTGTGATCTGATGAGGTCACTCACTCAGTCACATACTGATTAGAGCACCTCTATCTCTGTTGACACCGTCAGTAGTTACAAATCATCATGTTGTAATATATACATTCCTAGAACCAGACTGTGTAGATCTAGACCATATACCTGAAATCTGTCGTCAACTTTCTGGATATATACTTGCAGTGGTTCACCAAAGGATATAACCGGTCCAGAATATTTGGATAAATTTTGCCAGAGACTTTTTATTAGAATTGATTGGAACATCTCCAACTACTGGTATACTACTTCCTGACCAACGAGAATTGTACTCCTACAGCACTGAGCTACATTTTGTGTGATTTGACACCTGAATTAGTAAATTGCAGTCTGCCTTCCGGCTATTGTGTTTGATTGTAACCTCTGCCCATTGATATATAATTGCTTGACCCTTACCTGGGACATTATATAAACAAGCGGTGAGCACCAAGCTAATTAGCCATGGTTGACACCAGTACTGCCACTGTTAAGGTGGCGAGGGATTACTTTAAGAGTAGTCAGAGTACCGTCCTTATTCCAAACAGGGAATTCGGCAAGAGGAAGTTTATACATGTGGGCATCAACAAACAGCCGAGCAGCCGCCTAATCCGGTCATCCCCGGAGCCTGCGGACCTCCCGTCCCCACCCCTCAGTCTACTGACCGAACCTACCAACCCGACGAGCTTCGGAGGAAACATGAGGGCAGGTGAGTGAAATAACTATGTAGTGTTAAATTAAGGTCTTCGTGTGTCATAATCTTGTTATGAAAATGTTTTTTTGCAGCAATGACTAGTTTTGATTATCAAAGTATTGTTTTGTCAAAAGTCTTGTTACGACAAAGTCATGTTTTTTATCGATCATAGTTGTGATCATAAAAAATGGTGAGATAAACAGGATATTTTATCAATCTGATGTCACTGGTGGATGGTGGTACTTCACTGTGGTACTCACCGGTGGTATTTCACTTTGGTGTTTGGCATGGTATTTCAGAAGTGGTATTTCTCCGGATATATTTTAATGTTGGTATTTCATTGGTAGTATTTAACAAACAGTATTTCACTAGTGGTATTTCAGAGACGATATTTCAATGATCGTAAGCGTGTCATCTGGTTAACAATATTTTTCAATGGTGGTATTTAAGAAAAAGGTAGAATATCTTTGGTAACAGATAATTAATTGTTTCCATTTGTGTTTTAATGTCAAATATGGGTACCTAGAGTATTGGGGAACAATATTTCCTGGTAATCATATCATCATTTATTGACAAAAATATTAGTGCTTTGTGCATTAGAAGTTGCTTAATAATTAGGTTAACCATTAGTAAGTGCTTACAGGTAATGCTTATAGTTTAAAGTTGTGTTGTGGTGTGTTTACGAATTCTGTTTACACGCTATAATGTGTTGTATTTAACGTATAGTTACTCTACTCGTAATTATACTGTTACAAGACTATATACATGTACCAGGTATGACCTTGTGACATTTCAATCCAATCAGTACTATAATGCCCTGTCTACTTCCTTCAGAAGACACGAATATATAACTTGTAATATCAAAAGGTGAATGGGCATTATATTACCGGGCTTCAAAATGTCAAATTGTCACAACCAGTCAGATTGAAGTTGTCCGATAATGCCAGTAATATTTACATATCCCCGGAATAATTATTTTCATATTCGGATTTGTGTTTTTCAGCACTAATAAGCTTTCAGTTCAAAGTCATTAATTAGCGTATAGTTGTTCAAATAATGTGCAACTGTTTTATGAACGCTCCTTAAAAGGTTCACTTCCGTAACATCCACCTTTTTATTCTACATATACTGTATTTGATGTAATTAGCGCCCCCTCCCCCTATTTCGGGGGGGGGGGGGGGGGGTGATATTATAAATTTAGGTAAATCATCAGACCTGACCAGAACTGGTCTATAATTTACAGTACTTAACACTATTAAGTAGAGATTTAAGACTGGTGATCATGACTGGATTAGAACAGAGAGGATGAAAAATTGACATCCAGACCTCTAGCTACCCTAAAATGTCCTTCTGTTATACTGCAGCAATGCAGGAAGTTTCACCACTTGTTCTGATATAACTACCATTTTATTATCCTAATAAGTGCCCCCATTTAATCTAAGTTTTAAGTGCCTTGGGTACTAATTACGGCGAATATGGTATATTACAAATAACACCCATTGGATACACAAAGGGTCTGTGGCATCCAATGGTTAACTATAACCTTTGGAACATCATAATAATAATAGTGACAATCTGGCCATGGCATTCACATCATTGTGAATGCCAACTGAATTTGGTAGGGTAATACACTTAAGTGTGGTTATGCTATGCAGTGTTCAATGTATCACATATAATAGTGTTGTTTTTTATTAAAACCTAAGTGTTCATTCAAATTAAGTAAATTTCACATGGAAAAAAATGTTAAGTGACTTTATGAGACTACAATCAGTTAGAGTTGATGACTATGTAAAAGAAAACATGTAAACAATAACCAATTATCAATATTACCAATCCCAGTGTCTACTCAATAATACAGCAATAGTTTTATCGTGTAGATCTGAATTTTATTCAGATGAACTTATGGTGAACTATTTCATTTACAGCATTTTCCTTTTTTTTCATTTTAATTTTCAAAGTTAGGTAAATCATCTGATAAACAGAATCTAAAACTTGCTCCCATTACATCTGACTGTTTTGAAGCTGATTGAAGCTGATTGAAGCTTGTTGTATGGTAAACAGAATCTAAAACTTGCTCCCATTACATCTGACTGTTTTGAAGCTGATTGAAGCTTGTTGTATGATAAACATAATCTAAAACTTGTTCTTATAACATTGGACTTTTATGAAGATTGTTGAAACTTATTCAAAATTTGTTTCCAAACTTGTTCCAATTACATCTTACTGTTTTGAAGCTGGTTGAACGCTTGCTACAAGATAAACAGAATCTCAAACTAGTTCCCATTACCTCTGACTTTGATGGAATTTGTTTAGCTTATACATTATACAATAAACAAAATCTCATCGTTCCCATAACATCTGACTTTTATGGAATCGGTTGAAGTTTGTTTTGTCAGAAGGTGATGGGAACTCGATTGAGATTCAAGCAGTGTAGAACATGTTTGTCAGTTTATGTAAGATTATTTAAAGTTTAATAAACTCTGTCTGTCTCTGGTGAGAAAAGCACCAGTTGGTGTGTCAGCTACACACTGTCTCTATATATATAACACCTGTTGCTTCAAGGACAAATGGGTGATTACACTCCCACGATACATCTTAAAATATGTCTATAGCGCTGCACACTTGTAAACATCACTGAAAATAAATGTGCAGTTCAAAATACGGACCTGTAGCTTTTAAACATGGTCATGGTTAGTTAGTGTTATTTCAAACATAGCCCTCACGTAGTGCAATTCATATTAAAATGTAATGTAAACTAGTCAGTTTGAACAGTCAGGTTTGTTAATAATGACAGTCAGATAGTCCTAATAAACTATACTAGTTAACTACAGGTTATTTCTCGATTCCTGATATCATATTAGCCCTAGTAAATTGTTGTTTCTCTTTTCCTGTTACTGTATTTGTCTTAATAAACTACATGTTGTTTCTCTATATCCCTGTTACCATATCAGTTCTAATAAACTACATGTTGTTTCTCTATATCCCTGTTACCAAATTAGTTCTAATAAACAACATGTTGTTTCTCTATATCCCTGTTACCATATTAGTTCTAATAAACTACAGGTTGTTTCTCTATATCCCTGTTACCAAATTGGTTCCAATAAACTACATGTTGTTTCTCTATATCCCTGTTACCAAATTAGATCTAATAAACTACATGTTGTTTCTCTATATCCCTGTTACCAAATTGGTTCCAATAAACTACATGTTGTTTCTCTATATCCCTGTTACCAAATTAGATCTAATAAACAACAGGTTGTTTCTCTATCCCTGTTACCATATTAGTTCTAATAAACAACATGTTGTTTCTCTATATCCCTGTTACCAAATTAGTTCCAATAAACAACAGGTTGTTTCTCTATTCCTGTAACCCTATTAGTTTCAATAAACTATATGTTGTGTCTCTATTCCTATTACCATATTAGTTCCAATAAACTACCAGTTGTTTCTCTACTCCTGTTACCTTATGATACCTGATAAGTGCACTTGTCCTAATATGAAGTTTTTATCATACACTGAAGCTGATTTGATGTGTAAATGATTTAAGATATGCAACGTGTTCAATAAAGCAGTCTATTAAACCTGAATATTACCCAGTGTGATGTTATTTTTACAATGATGTGTGGCTAGAAGACAAAAATGTTGCTTCGACATTATACCCTCTGCATTTTTAGTCAAATTGCCTTTAATGTCTTAAAATTTCTCAAGTCATTTTCTGATGTATATGTGATGGAATGTTCTCCATCTGTGGCAGATCTTAATAAAACTCACTGAAAATTGTTATATAAAATTCATAGTTAATGGGAAATTAACTGATACCTGCTATATCTTTCTTGATTCGGCTGAAACTTGCAGGTGTATAAGCCCCTTATGTCTTAATATACTTAACATGTCTTTAAAATGGATTTTTGGTGTCTGTATAAGCAATGTCTGTCTGATAGATCAGAGGAACCACTATGTCCTAACCACTTAATCAAATACGGTTTGACATATTGAGATGAAACATGTTAATCATATGTGTTTGTGTTTCAGCTAACAAACAGTGGGTACATCCCCCAGAAACTCTACTGAGGGGACACATTGTCTACAATGTCAAGGTACGCACATCAACCCCTCCCCATCCCCATCTATAACCTCTAACCCCTCCCCATCCCCTTCTATAACCTCTAACCCCTCCCAATCCCTACCTATAACATCTAACCCCTCCCCATCCTCATCCCCACCCTTAAACCCATCCCCAGAAACACTACTGAGGGTAAATATTATGTCTACAATGTCAAGCTATTTACATTGACCCTTTGAACTCACCACCAAACTCAACCTTACAAGAGTCCTGATATGGGGACAGGTTGTGTAATGGTCAAGATAAATACAACAACCCCAGCCCTCAACCCCCATTGCCACCCCCAGACCCTGGAGATTCTGTTAAGGGATTACACCATGTTTGATGTCAAAGAAGGTACCTAGCCTATAGATGCCATAGTTCTAACTTTGGATATCCACATGTAGCTGTATATATGATGCCATGTAATTCATTTTTGGCAATATTATTACCGTAGCTATTACCAGATTGTATAGGTACAATTACATGTATATCTTACATTCATCTTTCTAACATGATTGATACATTGAAATAAACATTCTAAGAATTGAAATAACAATAGGAAATAAAAACATGCTTTTTATGTAACAATGATGCTAGAATATAAACACATGTATAGCAATGAGAATCATTTCAAACAGAATCTAAATACATTTATATGAAATTAATGTAGAAATGTTTTTTGCTATCAAGTTCTGATTTTTTTCACTATGGCCTATATCTGATCTCTGCAGAAGGAAACCAGATTCTATTCTTGTGATAGAACTCCTTACGTGGCAGAATGTGCTGGAATATTGCCCAACGTGTAATGGTAGTGATTGCATGGTACCATATCATAGATCATCCATATTTCAATAAAAAACAATAAATGTGTTTAAAACTCGAGTAAAAATCAATGACATGTATTGTGTTAGGTTCTGGTAACATGCACTGGTATCTAAATGGTCCTGTTACATGTGTTTGTTCGCTTTGTAGTTTTTGGGCGAGAGCGAAGTGGAAAACCCCAAAGGAACAGAAGTTGTAAAAGATGCCATCAGGAAACGAAAGGTAGGGTTGGCGCGACCATTACAGGAAACAAATGCTGATCTTCCCCAAAGATTGCTTATCTTTTCCTGTGATGGAATGTCGGAGCCCAGGGACCCGTGTTCAGAGCTCTGTTTGTTTTTTTAACAAAGAAAACTAGAAGCTGTTTTAAATCCAGAAACATCCTGATTTTATTATGATTTTCATTATATTACAAAATTTGTCGTAGATTTTATTTTGCAAACGTTTTGAGGCTGATCAGATTTGCAACAACCTGTTGAAAATGTTTCAAAAATATCAAATTCCATCTTTTTCTAATCTGAATTTCTTGTGATGAAGAATTTGTATTCAGATTGAAGTTTGGTTCAAGGTGTAGAGAAGAAAAGGGCAAACTAAGTATAAGAGTCAATCGCAACAAGTTCGGGATAAGTTTAGATCTATTATTAGGTAGTAATGAAATAATAATAGGTAATACCTAATAATAACACTTATCTTATCCCAAACCTGTAGCAATTGATTCAGATTGAAGTTTGGTATGATGCAATACTTTTCAACTCGAAAAAAAAATACGATCAGCATTTCAATTCCTAATTAAAGTTTCTTTATTAAAGTACAATTTTGTGTATAACATTTGGCAAAGTGTTCAGACAGCATAAGAAACCCCTGCAGTCTGTAAAGTTTCTTTATGACACACGAGAACAGATAGCTTTGTGCCCTGAACTTTATGGGGCCAGCGGTCACAAAGACAATGCATAGCATTTCCCCCGAAGCGATTTGAAGATTTCTTGTGATAAAACTTGTGTTATATATTTTTGCAACATATTCCAGAACCGCACCATTACCCAAAGGACTAGAAGCTCCATACCTGGTATAAAGAATCCCACATGCTAGTCAATATGGCTCATTGTCCTCCGGGGCGATTAATTCCATACATGTAGCCTGTCATGTTTTGTCTCACCTTTGATAGAAGTTAAACATTCTAAAATATGTAAACCTTCATCAATTTAGAATTTTTTATCTGTTTCTTTTCTGTCTTGTCTGTTTGTTGTGTCTCAATTGACATCTCTGGTTAGCCACTTGTGCAAATATTGAACTTGGGGACATTTCATACAGATGTTCCCCGAAAAGTAATGGTTGCGAGTATCATGTTTATATAGCTGAGTTTTTTCAAGATAATTAAGTTTTTAGGTGTCTGTTCAGAATTTATAAATTAACTACAGACAGCTAGATAAACCTAATAAATATTTGGAATAAGGTATAAAAGACCATTTCATATGATAATCTTAATAGTACATGTTTATCTGAAAAGTCTATCACACCTGTTGCCAGTTTCAAACCTGGGATCAATCTTGAAAGAATCATGATGTTACAATATCTACAATTGGTGTGACATCTTTGTGACATTGTTTTTTGTGAAGTCAAATTTAAATATAAATCAATCGATGAAAATGCTTCCAACATGTTTGTGTAAACGTAACACCTTGCCAGTGTTAATCAATATCTCCGAAGGGAGGCAAACTACAGTAATTACGGTAGAAATTGTGTAATCATGACTTGAAATTTTGTGGTCACTGGGTGGCACTTAAAAAAAAATAGCATTTAGTTTCATCACAAGATAACACTATCATAATATAACTTCTAATTTATTGCTCAGACAGAAAACCATTAACAAATATATTGTCCTAAATATAAATCATGATAAAACTACATGTTGTGGAGTTTTTACTTTATTTATTTTGCTATCATTTTTTCATTGTTGTTTATCTTCTGAATTTTATTTCAGTTCAATAAACACATTAAAAAAGCCGAAGGCCAAAAACCGCCGAAAGTTGAGCTGACGATATCTGCAGACGGAGTGACGGTGCAGGATCCCAAAACTAAGGTTGGAATTGAACTTACATGTACAATAAACCTGTCTAAACCAGAAGCAGTTTTCCATTCAGAAAAGACAGGTTTTAGATTATATACATTACATCAGATGTATACAATCTCAAGGTCTGGTTTATAGAGGTTTCCAGATTGAGGTTTTAGATTATATACCTTAGATCAGATGTATACAATATCAAGGTCTGGTTTATACAGGTTTCCAGATTGTACAGGCTTCTGTGTAGACAGGTAACATGATATTCTGTATGCAGTAAAACCGCGTTATACTGCCACCATTTGTCCAGAAAACTTTTGGCATTAAAAAGGGGTTTGGCGAAAAATAGAGGGAAACATATACAAAAATTCTTAAGAAAAAAGAGAAAAGGGGACCATGAAATATGAAGCAAGGTGGCAAATGGAACAAATTGCAAATGGCATTGAGGTAGAAACTTCGGGGTTATTTTGCAATCAATTTTTAAAGTCAATTGTAAAATAAACGGTTGTCTGTATTTGAAAACATTTTCATGAAAAATATGTCTGGAACTCCATTTGTTTGAAAGTGAAGACAATATTTTAATTTAAAATTTATGTGTACGATATTTAATATCAGTTGTACATTTTATTTTAGTGAGGACAGTGTACAAAGCCCTGTTTACAATGCAGTATAGGACTAATTTGATTTTGTTACAGATGATCATGCACCAGTACGCATTACACAGGATATCGTACTGTGCCGACGATAAATCTGACAAGAGAATGTTCACCTTTATAGCCAAGACAGGCGACTCAAATCAACACTTCTGCTACGTTTTTGATAGCGAAAAATGTGTAAGTAGATTTTAATTTTATCAGACTGAAATTTTAGCCATTACAAGCAAAAACTACCTTAAAGGAAAAAACGGGTTCATATTTCATCTGCGGTTGACCAAGGTCAAAAGGTGATATGTTGTAGAGTTGAGACCCTTTCATCATGTTTTGCACAAAAGCTTTTCCCATCTGTCATGCCAGAAATTCTTCGGGGAACAGATTTTTGTAATTTCATTGATTGCACCATAGTTTTGCATTCCCTAGTTTTAAACTTTTCTAAGAAAGCTTCTTTTCTTATTTAATAGAAAACAATGAGACAGTATTATGGTCATTTGAATGTTACATATTGGTAATCATGATCAATTGTCCATAACATGGTCACTTGACCATAACATTCAAAATCAACAGAAATTTCTATCTTTACACCCTGTTTTATGTTCATTCCTCACTCTGGATTTGCAAATTGGTTCAAACCCCTCGGCTTTGAGGCTTGCCGAGGGTTTGTGCACCAATTTGAAAATTCTGAGGGTAGATTTTCCCTATTCCACACCCCTGGGTTTGAAGTAGTCTTGTAATAAAATCTTCTTCAAGCTATAACAGTCATTCCTGTCTATGTCTGCAAACATTCAGTGTATTCTATAGATGTTTATTTTAGTTGGTTGGTTGGTTGATAGGTTTTTCGCCTACATGATTCCACCCGTGCAGGTTTCATCTCACTGACGGAAGTCGGTGTTCTGTCCGCGTTCTGTAGGCGTTAATAATTTAACCAGGAGCTGGTCTTTATATACAGTTGTATTTTATGAAAATCCTAGAAATATGAAAGTGATAGAGGATCATCATCTTCAAACTTTGATTTATCTTAAATCAACAACCACAGGGATAATATTTTTACTTACATGTATATAAACCGACAAGTAGTTTTCCTTCAGGTGTTATTTATAAGGATGGTCTCACTCTATAATGAGTTGTACTTATTTATTTTTTTGTCTGAAGGCTGAGGAGATCACACTTACCATTGGGCAAGCATTTGACCTGGCTTACCGGAGATTCCTGGAAACGTCAAGTCGAGATTTTGACATAAAGAAACAGTATTTGATGCTACAGAAAAAGGTAAAGGCTCTAGCTTGGAAGAAGACAAAACTAACATACATTTAATAGATCAATTTCCATCAGCATTCAGTTTTTGGGATTCTTGAACAATAACGAACAGAGGTGTCTTTTGTTAATTTTTGTGAAATAGTAAAAAACACAAACAACTCTCCTCATCAATTTCAGTGCCCGACAAATATTGACTTTAAAAAATTTGAAAATAATATTACTGCTAGATTGAGTATAATGTATTTATACGTTATAAGAATAGAATTATGTTTGGGCATAATGGAATAATAGTTAGTATTTCACAGTATATTTGTACTGTTCTTACATATAACTATATAGAGTTGTGATCATGTATGGAATATAGAACTCAGTTAAAAATGAATTCAAATGAATGCCCTTCCTAATTTAAAAAGGTCATTAGATGCCAGCCTACATAATGCTAATGGATTCTCTAATACTAGCTTACATACATATATATATATATATATATAGCGATAAATAGTTTTAAATGCCCATGTGACGGTAAAAATATATATAAAACAAAACACGAAGACTAGTATAATCGGCTAGCGCTTTCGCCCATCTTGGGGCTCTTCAGGCGATTTACATTTTTTTTTAAATATGTATATATATTTGTAAACAAGAATGCTAACTTGATACAAATAATTGTGTTTTAAAAAAAAAATGAATCAAAATGTGTTATATTATAAAATCTATATGAAAACAAAAACATTTACATAAGCTTATAACCTTTTTTCTGAATCCTTATGGAATATATTGTGTATCATGAAATGTTATTGTAAAAATAAAATGAAGTTTAAACTAGATATAACCTGACGCTCTGGTCGTGTTGTAGGTCCAGACTCTGGAGAAGGAAAACCTGACGCTGAGAGTGAGAGTACGGGAACTTGAGAGGCAACAGACGTCATCAGACAACGTCAGAAACCAACAGGTGAGGTGTATTTCTGTTACTAGGTCGTCAAACACAGACATACCAAAGGATGTGGCATGTTCTAGGAAACAGTCCCCTCCTAATCAAAATCTTCATTACAAAATTGTCTTTAACCCTTTCACCCCTAGGTAACTTTAGTAGACTCTTCTATACATTGATCTGGACGAGTCCATTATGGTCTACAGTGGTGAAAGGGTTAACCATACCATATACTACAGAAATGTTTATTGTTTGTATTATTCGTTAATATAATCGTGATTAGATATATGGTAGCATTCTGAATGGCAAATCTAGGGAGGGAAGGCATTACATTCTTTCATTAAATAGATGTTTTGGTCACGGGACCACCATAGCTGTCAACCCTCCCTCATTAGGAGGGAGACTCCCTCATTTCGACCAAATTTTACCAATCTAACTCGAAACTCCCTCGTTCAGGTCCAAACTCCCACAAACTCAAAATCTACATCCTGTGGTCAAATGATCTCCTACTAACTGCAGAGTGTGTGTAATGATCGTAACAGGTGCGTCTGAATCAAATGAATGTTTTTTTGAGTTAATATGATACAATTAAAAAGGGAAAGATAAAATGATTTTTTTCCTCATTTGAAATGTGAAATGAGGGATCCGGAGATCTCCCTCATTTGAGGTTTCAGAGGTTAATACCTATGTGAGAGGGGACCCCTTCAGACTTCCTAGTAGAGTGAACAAATGAAGTTTGGGCTCCATCCATTTTAGATTGGCTTGATCTACCACTGGTGTATATATATATTTTTCTAATTCTGACAGAAGGGTAGAGATTTCAGTTATCTTCCCGTGTTTTGATTCTAGGATGCTGTGGATAATAGTTTTTAGAAAGACTTAAGATCATTGTAGGGAGAATCATCAGACATCAGTTGACACAAAAACTTGATACATAGGTTTCATCTCTGTGAGGTAATTAACTCTAAAAAAAAATCCCATTATGAAAAAGTAAAAAAAGGCAACAAATTTTAATCTTATTTTTGCAAATGTTCGGTAAATTGTTATCATATTACTGTATACCAAGACACTTTCCTCCTGTAAAACTTAGTTCTTCTCTCATGAAATATATTTGTCCCCAGCGTTAATTCTGCCCTTCACCTGATTACTATGATTGTTATGCTGTTTACCGGTACTTATATTCACTGTAATGATCAAAATCTGCCCTCAAAGGGCAAAACAGGCAAAAAAAATCAACTGATATAAAAAATCTCCTGGTATTACAGTGACAGGAAGCTTGCTATATGTTAAAAAAAGAAAATAAAAACAACACCTTCCTGCATTTTGTTACACTGATTACCGTGTATAAAGTTTGCCGATGTGATGCATGAGGCTATGTATACTGTGACTCTGCTAGTGATGTCATCAAAGCTCTGTTCTTACTTATATATATATGTCTGGCTGTGATATGCTACAAATGATGCATTTTTGAAATTTAATGGTATGTAAATTAAGTCTGTCTAATTTTTCCTGTATGACATTTTTTCTATTTCGCTAGCATGAACAATTTATTTCTTAATCAAACCATGTGTACAGTGAAACCTGTCTATTCCGACCTCTGAGTGTTCAAACATCCTATCTAAACCAGCATAGAGATGTTATCCCATTTCATATAAAAACTATTAAATATGACCCATGTATTCTGACATCCTGTGTAATCTGACCAATAAGTTATGTCCCACAGGGTGTCAGATTAGACAGGAGTCACTGTACATGTACTTCAATTGAACCTTGGAGATTATTTTTTGAAGGAGTGTAGGTTGGATAAGGAACAGAATCTTTGTTTAGAAGTTTCGAACTAACGTACCAGTTCAGAATACTTTATTTGGAAAGTACAGGATATTTATTTTGAAGGTCTAGCCTTTTAGGAAAGGATGTATAACTTGCAGGTCATGGAAAAAGAAACTTGATTCTGAGGTCATAGTTCAAGACAGAAAGATTATTTTGCTGGTCAATATTTATTCTTCAAATCATGGTACAGAATACTTGTTTTATTAATTTAACATTTTGATTGTAACCATGACTACCAGTAAACTAGTACCTGTTGTCAACATCGATTGGTTAATTTCAAACAGGATTCTCCCACAAATGGACACACCTCCCTAACGGTAAATGATCTTACTTCAAATCAGCCTAACGTATTTAACTAACAACCCTATAACAAATACACCAAAAAGTATTTTTGATTGAATCATACAAATTATACTCAAAATTACATAAATTTCATAATATATTGGACATATATCCGTTTTTATTTAATGTTTTTTTCCCGTTAGATTTTTCTTTTACAAGTATTGAAAGAAAATAAACAACGTTAAAGTATCGTATTAATTATACAATTTGGTTAAAATTCAATCATTAAAACTTTTAAAATCTTGTTTTCTGGATTAATTACTACTGAGTTTTAAAACTAAAATTGCATATTGATTTAATATGTTCATAAAAAACAAGTTCTGTTTTCACCTTAACTACTAACAAGATTGATGGTGGTAGCATAAGTAATATATTTTCTGTGTTATTTTGTACTCATATCATTTCTTTAATTGCATAAATCTCAGTTATTTTCTTACATCTCAACCGATTAATATGCCCAAAAGTTTTTTTCTAAATATGGCAAAACTTTAAACTTTCCTATGTATGGTCATGAAATAGCAGAAAAACTTTTTAAAACTGTTCATTTTGATATAAATAATAGGCATCATCAGGGGTTGTTTGAGTTTTCAAATGCAAAGATGCTTTGCTTATTAATTTACATCTAATATATCAATAAATTTAATTTTGAGCTTTTCAGATGTTTGATTTTAAAAAATTGTGTGAAACATATTTGTCCATTACGCCAGCAGATTGCAGATGAAAATGATGTTCTTAATACGTCGCTTGGCCATTCTACAATACTTACATTAGCAAGCTCGCCACCAACAGACGAGAGTACCACTGACGATCAGACTAAGTCGGAGGTACAACAGAGTTATGTCCCCTGGTTTCACTCTCTTCTACTGACTCACACTAACAAACCTTTCGTTTGTAGCCTCTAATTCATTAACCTGGTTAATTTTGATTTTGGTATTATTTACTAATTTTGCATGCTGCAGTAATGAAGAGCTTCTGAATTTATTTTTTTTAAATTTTGCATTGCTGTATAATCTGGTTGCAATCTATTTGTGTTTTTAATTTTTGTACAGCTTTGGGGTGATTGTGAGAGTTGGATATTGTGTAGAATAGGCTGAAATAATTGGGTTTGAAAGAACCAAGAGGAAAATAAATGGGAAGAGAAAACTATTAATTTTCAGTACATTTATATATTGTATGAGATTAAAATTTTGCTTATGCATGACAATTTGCAAATTAAAGTTATAATGAATTTAACATGATTACCTGCAAATATTTGCTAATGTTATGGAAGGAAGATAAAAATATCAAACAAAAACAGAAATACAAGGAACTCCATCATTTTTGAAGGTCAATGTTGGATGGTCAAGGCTTAAAACCATCCAGCTTTAAACTAAACATAATAAAACAAATAAAAAACGTCCCTCTATCGGACTGAACCCAACATGTTATGTTTTTATTAACTGGTGATTCACTAAATGAAAATCTGCCAAATAAGTTCGGGATTAAGATCTTCAAACTTTTAAATCTACAAAATGAAGTTTAAGTTACTTAACAAATATTGATACTGAATTGCTGCTGAGGAAAGGGTGTTTAGGTGTATATCCTAGTTCACCTTTTACTCCTTGTCTTAAAATATATGTTTTAGAGTATTTCTTAGTTAACTTTTTACTCCTTGTCTTAACATATATGTCTTAGAATATTTTTTGACAGTAAAAGTATGTCTCTTTTCCAGTTCTTACTTTCAAAGTTTGAAACTCTGTCCAATAGATGTATAGCTGTACATGTAAATGTGTTGTTGTTTGATTTCCTTTACTTAACCATTTCAACTTTTGAAACATTTGACCCCTATAGTGTCCTATACAATTCAAGTTAATGGGAAGGCTCATTAACGCTACATCAATTTGCAATATGGTAATGGTATATGTTATGCTTTAAATTCTATCCAGTTTCAAAATGAAATGTAAAAATTAACACATTGTCAATAATTTGGCATTTTTGCTTTAATTCATAAATAACGCAACTTTTATTTATTAGCGTTGCACTGATCGGTAATGACTCAGAATGAAAAGGCACATCACTTTTAATAAATCTTGGACATAAGCAAGTCTACTACTATTAGTAGACAAATTGACAGTAATGGGCTGATGCATGTATTGCTTTCTGAGATGTTGGAAACTTGTTGTCTATCTGTTTTTAGAATTGCATGATATTGTAATATATTTTACTATGGCTTTGGTAAAATAAAAAAAAATATACATGAGTATTATGTTGTGAAATTTTGTTCAAATTGTATGTTCTACGATTTTAAACGATATTTTTACATATAAATGCATGAATATATTGACGATTTGGAAAAATTATATGCATGTTGATTCTAGTAAGACTGCATTGTACAGCTAATTCTAAAATTATAAGTGATAAAGTAAATATTTAGCCATTACACTTAAGTTTTTAATGTTGTTGATAATCTTTTTTTATTTGTTTTTTAATTTTTAGTTACAGGCCGCGAAACAGCCATCAGTCGGACGACGACTAGAAAATCTAATGTTTGATGAAAACCATACTAACAGCGAAATTAAGACCAATGGAACAAACGGCACAGCTTCCTCTGGTGGTCAAGGTTCTGGGATACGTAAGTTAAAGGGAAACAACCGAGATACACAAAACGGGATAACAACAACAAATTTTCAGGATTTTCGTTGCAAGAGTTTGTGACATTTTGTCCATTCTTTAAAATTCAAAATTCTATGATTTTGAAATAAACCTTTTCCATGCAACAATAGCAGTAGGGTTTGAATCTCTGAAGTATCACAGGACATAATTTCACATTTATCCGCTAATAGAATCTATCGCTGGTTTTACTGTGTTAGTATTGTTGCTATAATTGTGAGATCTGATGGTAAAGATTTTATCATTTAATTTAAATGCAGAAGAAGGTTATTTGATAAATATCATCAGATTGCAAATATTTCAATAATGAAAACATGCTATTTATAGTTTGTATGACCAGGGCTTACTTAGACTTGCATGTGTCACTGGTTTGCATGCTTTTGAAGTGGGACGCACATTTGTTATGTGATGCCATGTACTTAACGCTCGCACAGATCATAGTCAATCTACACCAGCGGGTCAATCATGTTACACCAAAATGATAATTTTAAAATCACATCTCGTATTTCTTTCATCACCCTTATCACATACTAAAAGACATGCACTTTAACTCCTTGACCTCTGAAGACACATTGGAACCCTTCCAATTCAAAGGTTGGAAAAGTTCATTATGAAACTTCAGGGGTGAATGAGTTAAAAGCTTGTCAACCAAATTTTACAGATGAGAATAAATTCCTTGAGTTAAGTTCTATACACAAATTATATCATCATTTATTTGACTTGGATGTTGTTTCCAGTGCAGGAAAACCAATCACTGACATGTTGCTTGCTTTTTTGTTTGTTTCACAAACTGGGGTTGTGTTGTCATGACAACAAATGTATAGCTGCTGGATGAGTATGGTTGTCATGACAACAGCTGTTCTATCCATGTTGTTGTAGTGTCACCACCCCCACCTAGTTCAAGGTCAAGGACACACAGTCAGCCACAGCCCTTGCCACTGACTTCACCTACTCAACCGGCCAATAGCCAAGCAGGTAGTGGTCATGTGATATTCAATACTAGTAGGTTAACATTTTACCGTTTTATAGGATTTCAGTCTTATTACAGTATTTGATTTTAAAAAATATGCCTTTGACTCGGATAATTACACCTGTATCAAAGTATTTCAGGATACAAATAAACATATAATTTAAACTTTTAAGCATATTTTAAAAATTTCCCAACTCCTGAAAATTACTAATTTGCATATAAAGATAAAATATATAGAGTAAAGACAAATAATTATTCGACCGTTTCTACAATATTTTTCATTATCAAGTCTTGAAAAACAGCTTAAGGGTCCCCAAACCAGTGACTAAACTTTAACTTTTTTTCTGGCATGACTGTAGCATTTATTTCATTTCTGATAAGAAAACCATACCTTCTGTAACTTTTAAGGAAAAAATATCAAAAATGAAATAACTAAAAAGTATCTACATAAAAAAATATTCTGAGTGTAAAAATGCAAAAGGGACCAGGCCAGGATTCGAACCCCTGACCCTTAATCATTATACTGTCGTCCTCCCCATCTGAGCGTCCTGGTCAATGGAAGCTCAATGGCCCTTTGGCACAAGAAGTAGATCCTAAATGAAATTAAGGGGAGATTACTATGTGTATGAAAAAACTGCAGAGGTATTTTCTAGTGTTTTGCCAGAAGTGGGACAGGTGTCCTTAAACAGATATTTGTTTATAATGCGAAATAAAAATTTTGTCAGGTTTTACTAGGTATTAAAATGAAATTCAAAAGACAGCCAGTATTAGGTTTTTGTTGGTTTGAGTGACATGAATTGGAGGAGTTTGGCTTACTAGAGAGCTCTATTAAGCCAATGGTTCCACAAGCTTCTGTGTTGGTGGTGGTCACAGCATACCATACTCTGAAATATAGTTTTCTGAATTTCTAGGCATCTGAGAACAGTTTGTAAATCATCTCTAGCCTTATCATAATTTTAAAAAAATGCTTTTTCTTGTACTTCATGTTTATATGAAAAATTGTTCACTCTTGAATTATTTAGCAATGTAATCTTGATTCAAGAATATTCACTGCTGATTCCTTAAGAACAAAATGTTCATTCACTGTTTGATTCAACACATTCAGAATGTTCATTGTTGGTTCAACAATAACAGAATATCCATTGTTGTTTCAACACATTCAGACTATTCATTGTTGATTCAACAAATACAGAATATTCAGTGTTGATTCAACAAATACAGAATATTCATTGTTGGTTCAACAAGTACAGAATATTCATTGTTGATTCAACAAATACAGAATATTCATTGTTGGTTCAACACATTCAGAATATTCATTGTCGATTAAACAAGTACAGAGTATTCATTGTTGGTTCAACAAGTACAGAATATTCATTGTTGATTCAACAAGTACAGAATATTCATTGTTGATTAAGAAAAAACAGAATATTCATTGTTGATTCAACAAGTACAGAATATTCATTGTTGATTCAACAAATACAGAATATTCATTGTTTGTTCAACAATTACAGAATATTCATTGTTGGTTCAACAAATACAGAATGTTCATTGTTGATTCAAGAAATACAGAATGTTCATTGTTGATTCAACAAATACAGAATATTCATTGTTGGTTCAACAAGTACAGAATATTCATTGTTAACTTATGCCATGGTGCGTTGTCCGTCGTCCAAAAGGCCTAGGATGATGATGTTTGGCCAGTAGCATGCTGGAATCAAGGGCTACCAAGTTTGTTTAAATGTATGACCTTCATCCATTTTCAAGGTCACAGGGGTCAAATATGTTAAAATCTTTGAACGACTTCTTCTGAATAACCAGAGGCCTAGGGTGATGATATTTGGCAAGTAACATGCTGAGATGAAGGGCTATCAAGGTTGTTCAAACAAATGAGCTTCACCGATTTTCAAGGTCACAGGGGTCAAATATGTTTAAAACCTTTAAACAACTTCTTTTGAATACCCTAGAGGCAAAGGATAATGATATTTGGCCAGTAACATGCTGGGATGAAGGGCTACCAAGGTTTTTTTCAATGAATGACTTTCATCTATTTTCAAGGTTCAAATATGTTAAAATCCTTAAGACAACTTCTTCTCAATAATCAAAAGGCCTTGGATGATGATATTTGGCCAGTAACATGCTTGGATGAAGTGCTACCAAGTTTGTTCAAATGAATGACCTTTATCTATTTTCAAGATCACAGGGGTCAAATTTGTTAACTACCTTTCAACAACTTCTTCTTAATATCCAAAAGGCCTTGGATGATGATATTTAGCCAGTTACATGCTGGGATCCAGTGCTACCAAGTTTGTTCAAACAAATGACCTTAACCCATTTTCAAACCTTTAAACAACTTCTTCTTAATACCCAAGAGGCATATGGTGATAATATTTGGCCATTAACATGCAGGGATGAAGGGCTACTAATTTTGTTCAAACAAATGACCTTCATCTATTTGCAAGGTCACAGGGGTCAAATATTTTTAAATCTTTAAATGACTTGTTCTGTATAACCAAAAGGTCCAGGGTAATGATATTTTGCCAGAAGCATGCTTGGTTGAACGACTATAAACTCTGTTCAACCTTATGTCCTTGTTTGACATTCAAGGTCACAGGCGTCATATGTTTAAATCTTTTAATAGGTTTTTATGAGTCAAACACTGATATTCTGCCTGTAGCTGTATTTTAGTCCACTTTTAAGATTATTTGTGAGATTAATACTAGGTGAGCGATTCAGGCTCATTGGGCCTCTTGTTGATTCAACACATTCAGAATGTTCATTGTTGGTTCAACACATTCAGAATATTCATTGTTGAATACAAAATGTTTACTGTAAATTTGATTCAACAAAAACAGATTCTAATTAACATTACTGATGTGAAAGTATGACATCACTAGGATTTCTGAAAATTCAGAAAGCAACAATTCACTTTTTAAGGAAATTATTTTTGAAATTACTTACTTTAATTTAAAACTAAACAACAGAAACGGATGTATTTGGTGCCACACCCTTTGGCGCCAATCCAGTTGGAGGAGGTAAGCCGAAGGAAGATCCATTTGGCATGCCTAGCTTTGACCCCAACAGTTCCGTTGAGATTGACCAGGCCATAAAGAGCATGGACAAGTTCTTACTAGATGTACAGGTATGTCAATATCTCCTAACTTAGAGATACATTAGAAATTCCACTAATAAATCTGCTAGGGTATCATTCCTTTTTAGCTCGTCTATTCGAGGGGGTCTATAGCAGCACCCACAGGGATAAGATGTAAAATAACTGTTTCTACGCTGTTTGAAGTAGGAAACTTGAATCGTTTAGACATAGTAGATTTTTGTATGGAGGAGTGCACAACACTTTCACAATTTTGATATAACCCCCAGGGGCCGGGCCAGAGGGGTGGAGTCAGGGGGTCAATATTTTTTTTATATAGTCCTTTAGCATATCAAATCAAACATAACCATGAGTTCTATATTTTACAGTAATTTATTTTTGCATATGGTAATTGGTTGTGGGGGGGGGGGGGCTTATGGGTTACTTTGTGGGGATAGCAGGAGTGTGCCATCGACAATTTAGTTCTAGTTTCCTGATCTATTATCTAAGATGGAACATCCTGTGTAATGGCCCAATTACAAAACTAATTTTAATAGACGAGCTATGCTGTTCTTCTACAGCTTTTGTTAAAGATACTATTGGTATTACTACTAGCAGGTTTCCATTCAAATTCCTCCATTATTTCATATCAAAATATACTTTTCTTTTTGTGTTTAGTATCTTGCTGATTTGATCCCAGATAAAAATTAATAAAACAAAGAAATGTGTACCAATGTAGGAAAATATTAAAGCCTGTTATATATATTTTTTTTTATATACAATTTTACAGGAAGGTTTCAGCCAAGGATTGTCAATTGGATCAGAAGATTTTTCCTTAGCAGATCTGGACCCCCTTAGCCAGAAATAAATCTATTAAGATGGATAACGACCTAGGAATTGCCATATTGTGTTACTAAAGGTGACAACTTTACCCCTGGAAATTCTATTGGATTGAACTTTGTTAAAAAAATGTGTCTTCGTGAAATATCAATTATGACATCCCAGATGATGAACAAAATTGTACTGTATACTCTTCACAATATCAAAGACGAAATTGTGGTACTTTGCTGTGATAGAGAGGCCAACAGAAGGGCTTTCTTGGGCGCGCGCTCAAGTTAATATGGATTATTGAATTGGTAGTTTATAACTGACAGTTATAGAATCCATTCCTGATGTTAGGTATAGATTAATAGAATCTATCATCCCCTTGGGGGTGAGATTGGGGAATCTCAACCTGAGGGGAAAGATTCTTAAGTTGCTTTGCCGAGTATTCCACAAGGGGGTGAATTATTCTTTTTTTCTTACCCTCTTTATCCCATTGTGTATCATTTAAAAAATGTAATGTAAAAATCACAGGCTAAATTTAGGGTTGACGTGACATTGATGGATTGTTGAGGTGACGTCATTGTATTGTTGAAGTGACGTCATACATGCCATTGTTATGAATAGGGGAATCCCCCCGTCTCAACCCTGCTGTGTTTGTGAATTTGTGTGAAGTAGTTACTGGATTACTGTTCCCTGGCTGGGGAGTCGTGGGAGAACAAGATATCGGAGATGAGCTGGATTTAAAACAAGGCTCGACTGTATCGACTATTGTTTCTACATAGGAGTTTGAATGCATGTAATTTATGATGAATGCAATGATAGATCTTCATAACCTGATCATTGGTTGGTACTTCATCTTCAAGTTTACATCCAATTAGAATTGCCCCTGAGACAACCCACAAAATGTTCCAGCTCGTGTGCAAGTTTTTCACAATGCGCTGTCTTTTATTTCGATTATGACATTTTTTATCGATCGGACAGTCCAATAGTGATTCTAGGGGGAAATAACAGACAGTTGAAAAAGCAAAATTCCTACTCGGAGACTCAACAATAAATAAATCCATGTTGCCTTGATACCAAAGTCATATAGAGAGAGTAAATCAGGGGAGGTAACTCTAGTGCTGTTGTGAATCTATTAAAATATAGAATGAAAGGACACTGGCCATAGGTTGCCATGGTTATATATATATATAAAATAAAACTGTTACATTGAGTCAACTATAATCATTGTGGTTCTGAAGCTAAGTTTAGTAAAATGTTTGTCACAATTTTTAAGTAAAATCATTTTTATCATTATAGAACATGTATATTGATCATGGCCTATATATATTTTATGAATACATTTGCAGGCATATGTAGATCATATGTAAATTTAACGGCTTGAACGTAGATATTTCAAGCATTGTGATATATATATATTTCAGATTGTGACTTTTTTTTGGTCAGATGCAAGTTTTCTTCATACATTTAGACGGGGCTTTTTTCTTTGTCAGTTAAAAAAATTATGCAACACCTTCAGAAACTCGAGACTTTAACTTTATTGCTGAATATATATATATAGCTGTGTGGCAATATAATAGTACAAAATTATTACTTTTACAGAAGAAAACCTTTGATGTACACCAATATATCCAAAAAAATCACTGGCCTGACAGATGATGTTTACATCTTGTGTAATTTGTAAATTCTTCAACAGCGTGAATGCTGAATTATTTTTTTTGCATTTTTTTGTGAAACAAAGTTAGTGACTGAAAGGTGCTTCTTGAGTTTTCATGATATCCAATTTGGCAGTAATTGTTTTCATTCAAACTATCTTTTACCAGGTCTGTAGGCAGTTATTTGTGAATGAGAACATTGATATATATATATTTTAAATTGTTACAACATACCTGGCACTCTAATGTAACGAACCAGCTGGCTGGTATTTTAGCGAAAGGATTATTTCCTGAACAGTGCGCAGCACATTGTATATCATGTAAAAATATGTAGATCAGATGAAAATATGTGCAGAGTTTGAAGTTATAGTGAAACATTTAATCCACCGTATGACCTCATTAAACTGGACACATGTGATTGTAGTAATATTTCTGAGAAAGTTTCCCATAAAGCGACACTTTTAGAGATTGCAACGGTCCCCAGTGACTTTACACTGGAAAAAAAGATGTGCAACTATTTTTTATTTTTTTTAACAATTTTTTTGAAAAAAAATAACCCTTCTTATTCATGCAGCCAATGATTTTTAAGATTAAAATTTTGACCAGAAGTTGCTAGGATTCATGTTAAAGATTAAAATGATCAGATACATGCTAGTTTGTAGATGCAATATGGTTGATATTTTAAAGGGAAAACAAAATTTGAAAATATTAACTAAAAGCTCAAGTTGGATTTGGTAACCATGTCAAGCAAGTGTAGGTGTTGAGTCCATCTGACTTTCAGAAAAGTTTCGAAAAAACTTGAGACTGAAAAGACAATGATTTAATTGGTTTTAGATGGTTAAAAATTCAGTGTGTAATTAATTGAATGAGATTCCACTTTAATAAAATTTCTCTGTAATGCATAATAGTTAATTTTATACAAAAATAAATCACTTTTGTAATTCTATCATAAAATTTTGGTTCGAAACAAGACATTTTCGTTAATCTCTAAGTATTCCCTTGGTTAATAGATCATGCATAATTCATTGTTTTAGTGGCAGAAAGGTGGTAAAAAGTAAAGGATTTTCTCAAAATCCTGAATCTCTTAAACTTATTCTCCTTTTTACTTGTTGGTATATTAATGGATTTTTTTTAAACAATGAAAGTGCCACATTTTTTCATGTGGGAAAGGGGAGGTTGATACCATCAAGAATTGATGGTGTTCATTTTAGTATAGTGTTCTGAAGAGAAAATCTTATTGGGGATTCATAATAAGTAATTTTAAATAAATAAATCATTTTTTTTATTGTGTTCCTGCTAATTATAATGCTTTTGTTTGAGGGAAAATATGCAGAATGTGATAAAAAAAAAAGTACTGTACATGAAAATGTGTGGGCTGTTATTTTAGGTCTTGTCTTTTAATTGTGTAGGTCGTAGAGTTTGTCGAGACAGCAATATAAATTATTTTTATTATGATATTTCAATTCGTTTACGTGGTCAAATCATTCAATCTTATCATTTACATTTAGTGAACACTTTGTGATGTTGAAGCAATATACTAGTCACAGACATGTTTGAAAGCGATGGATGTAAAGAACTACTAGTGTAGCGACATTTATATTTTGGCATGTAAATCATTTCGTAGCTATAATTACTTCATAAAAAATGAACATCAGGGTTTGTGGACAACTTCGATTAAGCTCTGCTGGCATGCAATTTGATATTTTGGATGCTATAAATTTCTAGATCTACAATTATAAGGATCCGTATATAACTTTTTTACACAATTTTTTTTTTTTTTTTTTTTTAATGGCTACACACGTACATGTATTAACAATTAAGGCAGTCGACATACAAATTAATTAATGCTAGTCCGGACAATTTCATTTTAGATAACAAATCTTCCCAGAACAGCAACTTTCTGCATCTAAGGACAGGAAATGCAAAAGAAATAACAAAGTTAATGCTGTATATGAAAATTTGCTTATTTTGAATTTTGAATTTTCAAACTCTTGTTTCAAGACTTCATTGTACATGCTTCAGACTAGGCTTTGTTTACTGTTGTTGATTTGTACAGTATACACGTACACGTAATTGACGTCTATGTAAAGCTCAAATATAGGTGCTGCACACTTAAGTTTAGTGTATGTATATACATGTATATGTTTAACAGCTTCAAGTCAACTCGTTTCTGTAGTTGGTCAATTTCAAAAATATTTTAAGTTGTCCATTGACGGCCTGAAAGACGACAATAAGTTTTGTCTTTTACGTTGTAAACCACCTGTTGAATCTTTGAAAAAATATTTGGAATAAATGTAGCGAGAAAAACGGTCGGTGTAGCACCGTAATCAGGAAATATAGGTTAGAACCTGGTCTTAAATAAATTAAAGGAGAATGGTATGTGTGTAGTTATCAGTGGTAATATAGGGTAAAGAATGGTCACTTTTATATGAATCTTCTGTAAATGTTTCACTCAAATTGACATTTAAAAGGGCATCCTAATATTTTAATGCATTTTTTGGTATATTGATGGAATATATCCGCAATTGATTTATGACTGACAAATTGATTGTGATGAATTTTTTTTTTGTAAAACATGTATTTTAGTCCTTTACATACAATCCAAGTCAAAATCTATACTGATATTTTTCCATGCGATATTAGGCAATGATATTGATTTTTTCCTCTAATGCAGAAAGTAGGGACATATATTAATCTTGCTTCATATTGAAGTACCTTTCAATGATTGAATTATGAAAAAAATATGTGTGAAAATCATGAAAACTCTTTGAGCGTGGTAAAATTAGAGTAAATTCTGTCTGCAATAACTATAAGCATGTCAAACATTTGTAGAAAGTTGATACATGGACCTGCAAGTGGTTGTGTACATATATATATATATATTTACATTTGTATTTTACCATTGATATTTTTAAAGCAATATATTCATTTACATGTAAAATACAAAATACTATTTGTTCCTGTATCGGAGCACATAATCATGCATACACACGAACTAATTATAAATATGTATATAGTTGTTTTACGAGGACCAATGTTCGAGTCTATTTTACCATTCAACCTTTTAACTTGCAAAGCTTTATCGTTTATCATTATATATTTTAATATATTAATTGTCCTTCGCTTTCATTAATTTCATCCAGACATATATGCTTGAGACATATATTGAAAAGTCTTCTTTTTATTTCAAATATAAACTCCTTTTACGTAACATTAACCTGTGTTTTATTATTTAATAATATGCTTAAGCTTGATCTCTATCCTATTCTACCTTTTAACAATACATGGTCACATTATCTTAATTATAAGGAAATTGATTTAATTTCTGTGGTGGCTGTAAATAAATGTCAATTTGTGTTTAACAATTGAACTCATACATACAAATTTTATCATAATAATCTTAGAGCAAGTAAAAAAATAATTATATAACTACAAAACACAAATTGAGTGTGCAAGTAGTTTTTAAACTGATTTTTAGTCATTGTATTCTCAGAAGATATTGTACTAAATGCACAATTTGCATTTTTTTGTATGAAGGAAATATGCTACCATTCTGTGATTTGTGACCAAGTTATCTCCCTTTCCTCATATATGATAATTCAGTACTGTGAGTAGCTTTTAATAATGTCCAGTAGTAAAAATAATTTTATTTGATGCAAGATGTTTTACAGGTTTCTTAGTGGCTGAACTCTTTTAGAACGGAGATACAATAGTCAGAATGGTAGCATGTAACATCCTTAAGTTAGATAAATCTGTAGTTACTACTCTCGCCTAGTTCTGTACTCAAATACTGAATGTGTCATTTGTGATTGTTGTTACATCTCGTTATCATTTTAGAAACATTTGGTTGATTGTGAAGCACATAAATATATAACTTCAACAGGTCACATGTTTGTTTCTTGTCTGTTACATCTAGAAATCGTTTTGATGCTGCAGTGAAAATTTGCTTGACCATCATAAAACAAGAGTTCCCAGAGGGATCTTTTGGGCCCCACCATAAAAGGTCACAAACTTGCTTGACCATCATAAAACAAGAGTTCCCAGAGGGATCTTTGGGGTGACACCATAAAAGGTCACAAACTTGCTTGACCATCATAAAACAAGTTTCCATAGGGATCTTTGGGGCAACACCATAAAAGGTCACAAACTTGCTTGACCATCATAAAACAAGAGTTCCCAGAGGGATCTTTTGGGCCCCACCATAAAAGGTCACACAGATATACTAGAGAAGGATGAATTGCCTGTGTTATCCTGAAACTTCACGATTAAATTTCATTATGATCAAACTTTTTACTAGAAAACAAGGTTAAATTTGATCTCGGAGACTTTCACACTTTACAAGCATCAGTGAATGCATGGGGTCAGTCCCTACAATATGGCTTACACTGAAAGCAATGTTTTCTGTCTCCATGGCTGTTTCCGTTTAAATGGCCAAACCGGTAGGACCACAGTTGTTCGTTAATTAAACAAGGTCGGACCTAGAAATCTGATGCTGCTTTCAGGCGAGCCTTGACAAAGCCTTGCAAGGCCTGCATAAACATTTGCAGGTCCATCAGGATTTATACCCGAAATTGTTACATTTATAAACGGTCAAACCAGTTGTTCTGCATAAACGAACAGGCCCCATATTAACTGAACTTTATGACCTTGACCTTCACCCAAGCTACCTTTACCATAGACCAATCTGAACAATATTACTTCCTAATGATATTACAGTTTGTTTACTATTAAGAGGCGTTTGTGATCTTCGCCACTGAGGCTGACCTTGGCAAGGCTTTACTGAGAGGACTCGGCCAAGGTTTGTAATTGGCATTACAACAAAGTCAACCTTAACAACATTACTTCACGTTCATATGGAATGTTTACCATTATGAAGATGATTTAAATTTGACCTTCAAATGACCTTATTATTAGATGAATGAGACATTTGACATCGGTCCCAACAATATTACTTCGTTATATTATGTAATTTTTCACATTAAAAATATGTAATTTGATCTTTAAGACCTTGACCTTTCACGTAGTATCTTGACCTAAATATAACAAGGCACACATGGTATTTTCAACAAAAGACCCATTGCTGCTTCATCTTATGCACTTATTAGTGTTGAGAGTCTATGTAAGTTATTGACAAGCACCAAAGTTATTTCGCATAATTAGAATCTATAATCTGGAAGGGGAACCAGTGCAGACTAAAAGATTTCAGTACCATACTTTCTGATATACAATGACAACAGTAACAATATTTGATCCTGAAATCCAAGGTGACTGCCCAGTGGCCAAATTGATTTTCCTATCCCAAAAAATATGGTGATGTTGCACAACAAGGACCCATTGGATGAATATCTTTGACCCTGAAATTTGAGATGGGTCTTCAAACAAAACTCTGATTGCAGAATATGGGACCATCGTGGAATCTGTATACAAAGTTCGATAAAAAGTCTGTCCAGTACTTTCCGACATCTACAGGATACATAGGATGGTACAGCATTGGTTGTTAATCAGTATTCTGCAGTTATTATAGCAGTTTTGTGAGATTCAAAAAATTCATGATACAGGATTAGGCCTCTCAGTAAAGCCTAGTTAATGACCACACAGTCAGGTATAGATTTCTGTCTACAAACCTGTATATAAGTAAGCAGTAAAGTACATCAGTCAAGATTGACTTTTTCATCTAGAAATTGATTGAACCTTGATCAAGATGGATTTTATATTGGTATTGCCTGGAACAAATCTGATGCAGTTCTGACAACTTTTACAAATTAGGGTTGAAGATAAATGAAATCTCAAAAAGCATACTGTTTTGTAAAGATATATTTATTTCATGATGTATATTTGTTTACATTTTAAAAATCATCTTCAACATAAGATTTCCAACATTTTGTCTAAAATGAAGTATAATATGTCTTTCATTACCTCGATACATACAGATATTATGATAGACTCACCACAGTACTATCCTTGGTAGGTTTGTGCGTTTGAGTAACAGTTATTATGACACCTAGTGTACACACCAGTGTTCTCATTGAAAGCCAGTTGCCGGCAAATCTAGCCTGCTTAGTGCTATTCATCAACTTTGAACCGGCTATTACTTTGAATAATACGTCAACATTATAGCATATGATTAAGTACTAAACAAAGCATAGTTGAATTGAGGCATTTCTGTTCATATATAACAACTCTTGTACATATGCTTACAGCGTAGCCGAATCGATTTTACACCTTTGTGTGCATACGCTTCACCGATCATTTGTCTGATGAAGGTGACGGTGTACATTCCGTACTAGTTATCGTTACGTCACATAGAAACTCTTATTGGTTGTATAAAAAGAACTTTTCATAATAGCATGTTAACATTCAACAAGATATTCTTTTCAAGTCAGCCACCTGTTTCAAATCTTTGTGAAAATACTGCATACACATAATTTGAAATACACATTTCATAAATATTCTTACCTCTGAGTGTACACATCAATAATCAAACTGAAGCTTACATTCAATTTCAATCAGAATGTATAATTTGGACATTTTTCAACATGAACTTGGTTCTGAATTTATCCTTAATGATTCCCGCTTTCTGTTCTAGTTACACTTAAACTAAAATGACCCTTTTACCTCATTGTAGTCTAAATACATAGCTCATCTACAATTCACATTCACAGTGTCTTAATGTTTACTGCAAACAGAAATGAATTTAACCTAACACAAAATGTATATATCAATACATAGCATAATCATTCACGATTATGATAAAATATACAATAATGGGCACCTTTGATGCAAGATTTTTTTCAAAAAATGTACACAAGTAAAATTTCAACATGCACATTATACATATGTATTACATTACCATTCAATCTGATGTTGAACATTCCTGAGATTTATGGACATCTACAGGAAATTCCTGTCATATTTACATAACCTTTTATCAGGCATAGACTAGCTACCTGGTCACAACACCGATAGGGAGGGATCCGGCATTGAGCATTCCAGGGGGGTCTGCACTTACCTAGGGGGGGTCTCCCCAGAAACTCAAGATTCATATACTTACTTTAATGCTCATTGACCCACTTCATATAAATGAATGAGGTTAAATATTGACAGAAAAACTATTTTACAAATATCAATGTGAAGACCCACCTTTAAAAAAACACCGGATTGAGCTCTACACAGTACTTGGTACGTATATACACACACAGAAATACCAAATGCCTCAAAGATTAGTAAAATACATAGGTATCAAATCATATCAAACCCAATAAATATTTCACACTTGAGTCAAAGTCTTTAAGATAAATAATTCTGACAGTAGTTTTATCATACAGTACAAATAAATTAAACCTTTAATGCTACATACATGTAGTTACTTGACATTTTAAAATCTATCGTCTAAAGTAAAATGTCAAATAAATAAAATCAGTACTCTATAAACTAAAAAGCAGACCCGTGCTGACACAAATATGGATATACAGCAAACAAAAAGCTGTATATTTAATCATTTCTATCTATTCTGCAAGGAACAAAGAGAATGCTGTATTTCGGTAAGTAATATCTACGCAATGACCTTGCTGTACCTATTTTCATGGTGTACTATACGTCAGCTGACTGTTATCAGTTGGTTGACTAACATGCTTATCAAGCCTTTTAGATAATTATAGAGCTGTCTATATAGTCTTCACAGGTGGCCACACTAATGCCAGGAAACAAATGTTCTGATTTTTAAAAATATCTTTTTTCAGGTTTGGTATAAATATATATATTCATATTGTGCATGACCATGAAATCCTCTGACACCGAATGTCTTACAAAACTGCACCTCAGCAGACACACCTACACCTTTTGGTAAGAGATATATATTCCATCCAAAATAGATCCCTTCATAAGGTCACCAGTAGACATCAGGGATTATCCTGTGATAGAACTAACATGTAATGGGTCTCTAGAAGTGACCTCTGACCCTTTCACAAGGTCACCAGTGCACACCAGGGATTACCCTGTGATAGAACTAACATGTGATGGGTCCCTAGAAGTGACCTCTGACCCTTTCACAAGGTCACCAGTGCACACCAGGTATCACCCTGTGGTAGAACTAACATGTAATGGGTCCCTAGAAGTGACCTCTGACCCTTTCACAAGGTCACCAGTGCACACCAGGGATTACCCTGTGGTAGAACAGTACATAAGGCGTTCCTAACAAAGACCCTCCCTCTCCCTTCAGAAGGTTACAGAACTCCTGTTTGCTGTACATGCGGATGGTTTCATCATCACATTCTAGCCACTGTTCTTCGTACATCTGTTTTGGCACACTCGGATACTTGGTTCCCAGTCCAGATCGCTTGTTCTCTCCGAGAGCACTCCGGAAGAAACCACTTCTACTGGACAGGTTGTTATCTTTACAGGAAGATGGAGAGTCACTTGCACCAAGTTTAGGTTGACCATTGCCAAGGACACGGACATATGAGAGGTAGTGACCAGAGGTCATTGTAACTCCAGCATGAGTGACCAGTCCATACAGCATATACCTGAAAACATAACATAATGTTGTTGTAAAATGGCTGTGTCCAGTAATCAGATAGGGATATCAGTGCTCCAGATAACTTTTGAACATGTGTGGTGTTTTGAACCATGAAGTGCTGTAAAAGCAACATTACCAGAAAATGTTGTAGGAGGTTGAATAATTTGTCATATCCTCAGGTAGGGAATAGTTCAAGAATCTTACTCAATTCAAGACTACTATGGCTGCCTCTAACAGAAGCACATGGATGGCATATGAAAGTTGCTTGTCTAATGTCTATCAAAATGCAATAAAATGTAATTCTCAAATAAATCAAACAACATCACATATCTATTGTTTCAGAACAATTATTTCAGTTTTGTCTTCCCACAAAACTATTTGCATTAAATAACTTATCAACAAGTGCATATGAGATTTACAGAATAGTGCTGCTAGTTCAGTGTTGACATTGAAATCATTTAAGATAAATTGTGTGAAACAACAGACAAATCTGGGCAGTAGGAGCGTTGAAACATTTCTGTTGCTGGTTACTACCATCAGAAGTACTGCTGTTATACCTATGATCAGGACGGCTGCACGGGCTGGGACACTTGTACCGCAGACATGGCAGAGACAGCGGGATGGTGACATGGTCGTTAATCTTAGACACATAGCCATACAGTCTGAAAAAGTTACAATCAGCAGTTAAATACAGGTAAACTTTCTGTCAATTAATAGAATACATTTCAATTTTGCATATTTAAATATTTGTTTGGCCAGTTCATATTTTAATGGACTCTAACAAAGTCATAGAATACCCATACACAAAAATAAGTACATATCTAAAGAAATACAGTATGAAAATATTATCTACCCATGTCTGTAGTATATTGCATCAACACTGTTAATAACTCTGTAATTTCTGGTCATATATATGTTCTTTTTGCCCTGTAAATCATGCTGATACAATGCTCTGCAAAAAGTCAGGATTTGAATTGTTGAAAAAATAATAAACTATTCTTGACTACAAGCCAATTGTCAATTAATTTTTAAAAACAATTTCACATTTGGTCACTCCTGTTTTACATATTTAAACATTTGACATATGATATTACATATTTTATATACTAGTAGCTCAAAGTACACACATGTCAATGTTTTTAAAAATAAAACAAAGAGATATTTTTTGATGATATGTATGGTCATGTATCACTCATCTTTAGGCAGTAGAACGTATGGGACTTATAACAGTATACCATGGTACATTATAATTAACTAATACCTAATACCCAGAGGTGTACAATTTCATTTAGCCTATTGCCTGTGGCTAGTGAAAAATTTCAATACTTGCTTTGAAAATATAGGTTGCACAAGTTAAGTAGAAGTTTTCAAAATCTGCCTGTGGGCTATTATTTTAAGTATGAAATTAATATTAATTGTACACCCCATATCTATGATTTTCGAAATAAAACTTTTTTCACAACTCTTTTGTAATGACACAAACTTCACGTTCACAATTACCCAGATGAAGCGGAGAAGCGCTTGAGGTGAAGGGACAGAACATCCGGTAGTACTTCATAGTGAAGGGACCGCTCAGCCTCTACGTGACGGATACAGTTGTCGCAGTAATACTTGTTTTCATCTCGCAGTCGCTCCACCTCCGCAAAAGCATCCATCATCTTCTTCAGACACGAGTTGTCTTCTTCATCTGTTCAGGATATAAAACACATCGGAGTGAAAATGACTGTCAATTTAATTCCAGAAATATAATAAGGGGAGGATGGCACTTCTTTTGTGACCTCAATTGCCTATAAACATGTTTCAGGGAGGGCCCATTTTATGAAATGTCAACAATTACATTAGCACATATAAAACTACAATAAGTGGTTCCCCTCCACCCCAAAAGTTTAGAAATTTGAGGGGATCCTTCACTAGGGCATATATTTCTCTTATTCTACTCGATTTACTCTTAATCATTACGACTTTTTGATGATATTAACACATGTTTTGTTATATCAAGCTATGTTCTGTAGGAATAACAGACGTTCCATTATATTACGAGCTAGCTACCATAATGAATGTTCACATAAAAAGTCTGCAGATACATTTGCCTTACAATAATTAAACGGGCCACATTTATTTATAACAAACGCAGCTCAAGTTTTAAGACCTTGTAAAAAGAATTTGGATGTAATAAAATTACCTGAATCCATATCTTCATCCTCATCATCATCATTATCACCTTTTTCCTTCTTTAAAGGAACTGAAATATCATGAAATTCCTCAATGCGTTCTCTTGAAAATTCACACTCTAGACACTTAGTCCTCAACATCATTTTTCCCATGAATAGATTTTCAACGAAATCCACTTTACTTAGAGGGGGCTTTACACACAACTTCCCTGGAGGAGTAGTTACACATCTTGATTTGTCATGTGAAAAATCTAGTTTGTGTTTTGCATTCCCAACCATGACAGTACTTTTAGAGGAGTTGGACATTTTCATTGGAGACAAAGTTTGTTCGGCATATTCTGCATTCACTGATTTTTTTGGACTGTCACAAACGTGATCACATTTCTCTAGCTTCAGCAAAGGTTGGCGTTTATGTTTATCAGGAGAATTGGCGACATTTTCGCACTTCATTTTCTGAAATTCTGACGATAAATGAGAGCTGTCTTTTTCGGACACCTCTTGTTTGATGTCAACTTTGTTAACTTGCTCTTTCTGACTTTTTGTTCTTTCTTTGGAAGGCGGTGAATTTGAATTATTTATTGAACTTGTCACATTTGAAGCATCGACAGGTTGAGTTCTTTCACCAAATGCCGTCAAAACTTTCCTCTTTTTGGACTTGGCCAAAGACTCCTTTGACAGGTGTATATCTGGTGAGGTTTTCTCCAAACGGTTGTCACCTACAGGCCCATTACAAGAGCTGTTGTTCTGGTTGTTCTTCATCGATGCTCCCCTCATCCCCAAACGCTTACAAGGTTTCTCCCCTGTAAGCATACTTAAAATACTGGGTTGTGATGAGCACTTTGTACCACAGGAGTCGGGCTGATCCTCCTCACATTTCACCTCCCCATTGGCACTGCCGTTTGTCAACCCTTTGCTCTTACATCTGGCTGAACTATTTGAGGTAGCGTCTTTTTCTGTTTTAATCTGACTTTTATCATCAGCTGCATCCTTCTCCGTTGACTTCCTACCTCCTTTCCGTCTCCTCAATAAAGGGTCTCCATCGGTCTCGTCTAACTTTTCTGACATTTTCTCCCGAGTTTTCTTCACAGAAGATGGTGGTTGTGTTCGCTTTGATCTTAACCTTTTTGGCACAGCAGAAATGTTTCCTTTAACCACCCCTTGTTTACTGTCAGTGTCCAGGTCCGCGTCCTGGTCCTTGTTAACACCGACTTTCACAGTAAAATCAGGTATGTCGGCTTCCGCAACATCCATCGTTTCCTCAGATGACGCTGTTTTTGCAGATTCACTTTTCTCTATCTCGTCCAAGAAGTCTGTTTTTGGAAAAGATTTTGCAACTTCTACAGCGGGAAGCTGAACCTCTTTCTTTATAGATACGTGATTTGGCACATCTTGCTTTAAATCGTTTCTTTCAGACTTGCCATTTGACAGAAACTTCTGCATAATGGGATTGAGGGGACCCTTAGACTGGGGCAAAGCACTGGGAGGAAGGCGACTCTTGATCTTCTTTATTTCTTTAAAAGCATCCTGTAAGTAACACAGCATACAGCGAAGGAGTTCCTGGGCATCATGCTGGAGATTCCCTTCAAACATCGGGTTCAGCTCTCTGAAAATATACATAACGGAATCCGATTTTACTTCAACATCTTAAGTTCTAACAAACAACATAGGTTATCAGATTCTACAATGTTCAAGTATTACATGTTTACATAAGTCAGAGAAGATACAGCAGATTGTTCAAATTTAAAATCCATTTTATTTTTAAACCAATAAATTAGGGAACCATCAACATTTCAGAGTTATGACCAGCCCTTCTATAAACCGATATTGGAAAAGCCTAGTGTTGGGAAATTTTATGATCGACTGTCGTTTTCCATTAACTAACTGTCTGGTGATTAATCAATAATTATTGTAAAGTGATATATTAGAAAATCCTCCATGTTGTTTTTGCAAGTCCCTTACGCTAATAAAAAGTGAGACCCAATGTAGATTCCTGAAAAGGGTGAAAGCACCTAGAGGAGAGCAATTTTCAAACTTGTTTTCACTTCATCCATCGACATTACAAGGTTCTTTTATTACTTTATAAACATGTATATTTATATATTTAGTGCCCCCTCAGTAGATCAGCTCACCTTAGGGTGTTCAGAATTTTGTCCGGTTTCAGTGCCATCGACATCACATCTGAGCTAGCCACTTCAGAGTGTCTCACCTCTCTCCTATCCATAAACTTGTACAGCTGTGGATCACAACGATAATAACATACACATTCACACATGAATAATTTAATAAGGATCAAGGAATAAAGATTAAGTTTCAGGTATGATGTATCCAATTTCTCAACACCAAAAAGAAAAGTAAATTATTTCCTTGTATATTGTTCTGGTATATTGATAAGTTTCCCTCCCAACAATCAATTCACATTATTTTGAAATCAGTAAAATCCACAAAACCACTCATGAAAATTCACAAACACTCTAGTAATTACCTCCCAAAGTTTGCCCACCAAACAGTCTTTCTGTACTACCCTGATGCAACAATGTGCTTACTTACTTACATGGTAGAACTAGAAGCAGTAAGGATATTTGCTTCACCTTTGGCTAAACCAAACTTTATCAAATCTGTATATTCTCCATCATAGCATAATTATCAGCTCATAAACTAGACAAAAAGTAATCTCCTCAATAGGTATGCTATGGTGATTTGTGTAGGATTTTTTTTCAGGTAAGTCTGTGGATATCATTTTTAAAATGTGGATGCATATGAGTCCCATTACTTTTAGAAACAGTGGATTCTGAAAGTTTGCCAATACCATTTTGTTAAAATGTCACAAAAACAGTGTCAACAAATGTTCATGATGCAAGTATATGTACTGTTGATGTTGTCAAATAGCTATTAACTGTTATGAAAATATCAAACCAATGTACTTGGTCAGTGTCAATACTTACAAAAACAGTACCAATTGTAAATAATTTTTAAGTCAAATAGATACAATCTAGTCCCTTAAACTTTACAGGATAAGATTGAATCAATACAGCCAATATCTAGAATTGTCAAGGAATTGATTAAATCAATACAGCCAATGATCTAGAATTGTCAAGGAATTGATTAAATAAATACAGCCAATCACTTTATCTCTAAATTTAACAGTAGTCAAAGGATTGATTGAATTTTATGATCCATAATATAACATGTTAGGTCAGTGATTCATTCAGATCAAATAATGTAAGTGGTTGAGGAAGTTGATGAAGAACAAAGCATTTGGAAGACAAGTTGTTCTTGTGGATGAGTAGCACACAGAAGCCACTTCAATATATACTAAATGGAAACGGACCCCAAAAAGAACCTTTTTGTGATAAGGGACCATAAGTTTTTGTTATGTGGCACCAATCTTTGAGAGGGTCCCATACCTTGTGTAGGTGTTTCATCATATCACAGGTCTGTGATTGAGACAACTCGTAGGACAGGTCCTCCTGTAAAATAAAATACAAACACGCTATACATCTCATCTGACACTTATTTGTTTTTAGAATTTCTTTTAATTTACATAGTACTCTTTTTTTTACCTACAATGTTAAGAATAAGAAATTATTGTGCTCTAACTCCTGTTCTCTTTCAAAGTATTTACAGTCAAAAAGGTCTATATATGTCATAATAGCAAGACAGCATCTACCATAAATTGTCAGAAGATAAAAGTGCTACCCACAATGTCCCATATTGTACCCAACATAATATTGAAATATGAGCAATTACACTGGTACAACTTACGTGTAATTCTTTAGATGCTGTGTCCTGTTTTTGCCATTTCTCCACGAATAAGATCTCACCGTGCAAGTCATCAAGTCCATCGAGAAAGCCTGGTGTATATCTTAGTACTTGAAGTACACTGTTCAGGAAACAGGTGTTGCCTGGAATGGAAATATATTATTAATATCATATACTTTTCTTTCTTTTGTTTTGCATCATGGCATTCCAATTTTAAATACAAAATGATACTTACTCTAGTCCTGTATACGTTAGTTCAAATGTACTTTTTTGCACACATTTCACTCTCCCTAGTTTTTTTTAATTTTATTTTGGAAAACTGTTTTGGTAGTACTTAACATACTAAATATTGAGCTGGAAAAGCTAGGAACTTCGTAGATACCATTGTATTGTGGAGGTAACCCGGTTTTTTCTGTAAGATATTCAGTTTCAAAATTGAAACCTGTCACATTTAACAAGATGTGTGCACATGGAACAAATGAAATCCATTTGAGAAATAAAATAAAATAGATCTTCCTTCAAAGATTTAATTGTAATCTTATAAATGAACCAATATAATAACACTGAACATGCAACTCATTGTCTTTGAACAGTAGCATTGAGATCATAGCATTTGCTACTAAAATCAAAACACTGAGCTGAAATATACTTTCTACAAAATATGAGTAACCTGTTCTGCAACAACCATTTATTAATTTGTGAAAATAATAAAGGTTACTTTCTTGAGTCTGTATATCTAGAGATTAATTTACTAGTTTAATTTTTAAAGATTAATAAAAGCTTTTTAAGTCTGTAAGTAAGGCAAATTCTAACAGAAAACGTTATGTCTGTCCAAATCTATCAACATTTATGCCCGGTACTAAATTTGAAGAAAAAAAACTATAAAATGTCTGTAAGACATAAATGCCCCCGCTCATGGATGGGACAGGACGGACATGGGCAACACTATATGCACCCCCCATTTTATGACGGGGGCATAAAAATCAGAGATGATTGATTTCTTTCATTGAAGTTGCTGGTGATTGAAACAATGTTTGAAATCCTCAATGAGATATTTTTTTAAAGAACAAGAGGCCCAGAGGCCTTAATAGCTCACCTGGTATTCTATTTTCAATTTAAAACCTGCTGAGTACCATTCAGGTTTATCAAAGGAGTACAAGTAACAAAGTTGCATCTTCCATTTATAAATATTCAATTCCCTTTGCCCAAAGATTCTCTAAAACAAGTTTGGTTAGGTTAAAATCCCTTCAACGGTACAGAAGGAGAAGGATCTTTAATGTTTTCCTCTATTTCCCCTAATGGGCCCCACTAATCTGCCCCAAAGAAGGGGAATCCACACACCTCAGTTTAAACAAAATTGATTCTTTTCTCCCTAAGCATGCTTCAGACTGCATTTGGTTTAAATCCCTTCACTTGTATAGTAGGAGAAAAAAAATCCTCTATTTCCCCTATTGGGCCCCGCTCCTATGCCGCCAGAAGGCCCACACCCTCCGTTTATACAAACTTGAGTCTCCTTTGTCCAAAGATGCTCTAGGACAAATTTGGTCAAAATCCTTCAATTGGTTGAGGAGAAGATTTTTAAAGATTTACCTATTTTCCCCTATTTGGCCCCGTCCCTCTGCCCCCAGGGGGACCATACCCTCCGTTCATACAAAACTGAGAACCCTTTGGCCAATGATGCTCCAGACCAAATTTGGTCAAAATCCCTTCATCGGTACAAAAGGAGAAGGATATTTGATGTTTTCCTCTATTTCCCCTAATGGGCCCCACCCATCTGCCCTTAGAAGGAGGCCCACACACCTCAGTTTATACAAAATTGATTCTTTTGTCCCTAATCATGCTTCAGACTGCATTTGGTTAAAATCCCTTCACTTGTATAGCAGGAGAAAAAAAATCCTCTATTTCCCCTATTGGGCCCCGCCCCTCCGCCCCCAGAGGGGCCACACCCTCCGTTTATACAAACTTGAGTCTTCTTTGTCCAAAGATGCTCTAGGACAAATTTGGTCAAAATCCTTCAATTGGTTGAGAAGAAGAACATTTTTAAAGATTTACCTTTTTTCCCCTTATTTAGCCCCGCCCCTCTGCCCCGAGGGGGGGCTATACCGTCCGTTTATACAAAACTGAGAACCCTTTGGCCAATGATGCTCCTGACCAAGCTTCAGACTGCATTTGGTTTAAATCCCTTCACTTGTATAGTAGGAGAGAAAAAATCCTCTACTTCCCCTATTTGGCCCCGCCCCTCTGCCCCCAAAGAGGCCACACCCTCCGTTTATACAAACTTGAGTCTCCTTTGTCCAAAGATGCTCTAGGACAAATTTGGTCAAAATCCTTCTATTGGTTGAGAAGAAGATTTTTAAAGATTTACCTATTTTCCCCCTATTTGGCCCCGCCCCTCTGCCCCCAGGGGGGTTATACCCTCCGTTTATACAAAACTGAGAACCCTTTGGCCAATGATGCTCCTGACCAAATTTGGTCAAAATCCTCTGAGCCATTCAGGACAAGTAGCATTTTAAAGGAAAAAGTTGACGGACGCCGGGCGACGGACGCTGCACCATGGGATAAGCTCACTTGGCCCTTCGGGCCAGGTGAGCTAAAAACAGAACATGCTGAGTACAGACAGCAGTTGTGTTCCATACATTTGGAATGGACATTCGTAAAATAACAAACCTTGCGAAACAACATAATTTGCCACTGCTTGCATTGCCTTACCCAAGTTTTCAAGGGAGCTAACTGCTGGAACAACCTTTTCTTCTTTTTCTGAGTTATAGCCTATGTCATCATTCATTGACAATTCTTGAACTTCTTCAGTTTCTCCTGAAAGCTCTCTGCAAAATATGTTATGTTTTATATATGTTTTATATAGGGATAATAGTTTAAAAAATATTTTCTTTAATATTTAAATCAGAATCTAAAATCACCGTTTAATTTTAGACAGCATGCACAGTTCTCATTTATTTTCAGATAACATGTACCTGTTATACATATATACATGCATATGCAGTGAGGAAATGAAAAGAGTTAGAAATTTTCGTGTTTCTTCCATTTATTTTTGAATTTCATCATTTCATTTTTTTACTCTATTAATAGCAGTTTACAAAACTCACAGGGATGAAATGAAATGAGTTTCAGATTTTAATCTAATATTATCATATTGTACCTTGTTTCTTTTTGGCTTTCATCCTTTTTACCAGGACCAGACAATCTATCCTTCTGTGAGGTTACTGCTTTTGGAAACCTCAGTGACAATCGGGGACGTTTCCTGAGTGGCCCTGGAGACTCAGCATCTGCAATCACCATCTTGTACAGAAAACTATGGACTGGAACAACTTTCTGCAAAATCTGTCATCACATATCTGAAATATAATTTTCAAAGTAAAAAGTGTAATGAGTGTAGCAGAACTAGACATGGTTGATCATCAGCGACCAGGTAGCTCAATTGGTAGAGTGACCGTCAGAAATGTTAACATACCTTCAGCGATATCTGTTATCATAAAAATCTGGATTCAACAGTTCCTGCATGCGCCATTCAGTCTCAGGCTTTGCACCAATTTCCATTATACAAATGTACGATGCAAATTTGGCATATTATATATACAACGTATATACATGTACCGTACACAAAATGCAAAATTTAACAGGATCAAAGGTAGGACTGATACTGTTTATATGGCCTTCTGTGTATTTGTATAAAAAAAACCTGTCCGTCTATAAATAAATATATGGCAACACCACTTTTATTTAATAAGACCAGATGGCAAATCAATTGAAGAGAGAACACCAGGATTTTTTGTAGCTCCAGTACTTGAACCATATTTCATTGTCCTATCAATTAGTATTTTGGGAATTTGATGATGATCAAATTCAAATCATAACTGAATCGGTGATACACATGTAGCACATCGTTCAGATTCAATCAATTCATATGAATTTTCAAAACTTTAGAAGTTTTCAACCATCATATGCATCTTTCAAAAATATTAATCAGTCAGACCATTGCAATGAGTTTGTTTCTTTTTTCCCCATGAATTTGGAATGGGGCCTTTTTGTCTCATTTTGGGAAGAAAATATACCGAATGGGAAGGAAATTTTCAAGAGTAAACTGTAAGTTTTGGGAATGAGACATAAATATGAAATAATTTTAATTTGGAATGGGGCTCATTATCAGCTGTGCTATACTGGAAAGAAATGGATAGCAATTCTAATACAAGAATCAAGAGTCTAGGCCAATGTGTGGTAACCAGGAGGTGAAAACAAATATAATTTGTGTCTATATGTCGGTCCTTTAATTTTACATCATTCCTGAGCTTTAAATGTACTTGCACATGTAGTAAGTATAATTCTATTCAGTCAAACCGTGACAAATAACCATGATCTTAAAAATGCATTCATCTAGAGGATTCAAGTTGCGCACCTTGGACCCGTTACATGCATCATTTGTTTATATTTCAACAAATTTGTACTTGGTGTCAAAATCTTTTAGACAAATATGTGAGCAACATCTGCTACAAAGGCCAGATATATATATATATATATATGGTCATATAGACATGGGTAGCGTTACAACAGTTAACAGAATCATAAATGATTACTACATAATCTTTTCGCTACTATATTCAGTCTTAAGTTGTAAACAATTTGGATGGCAAAGTAAATGACAACGATGCAATTATTTATGAGCAGCTAATTTCGCGCGCAAAGTAGGCCAAATTTCGGATAACTTCCCATCATGAGAAATCGTATCGTAATAAACGATTCGCCTATCTTAATGGCTGAATTATACAACATGTGTTTGTTTTGAGTATTTAAGACCGTTAACATACTTATTCTATATTTTTTAGTATTGATCTCCAAAAAATATCTTGAGGAAGTGGACGGCAATCCAAACCACCCGGGGAAATCAGCAAAGCTTGCATGTTGTTGATTAGTTTCGTAAATTCAGAAAAAAAAGATATATAAGCGTGCCCTTCTAATTAAGCAATCTCTTGGAAATTCACTGTCTTACTAGATTGACTGGCATTTGAAAAAAAAATCATTTTGTACTATCATTTGTTTGCATAAAATATTTGATATATAAAGTACGAAACAATCCGTACCGTGGGATTTCCCGTAGTTTCTCTTTGCTGACGTGATAAATAGCTGCAGAAACCAGTAGATCCTCAATTCCCGGCACTGTATAGCTGATACAGGCGAAAAGTAAGCGAAATGTTATTTTATCACAGCATTTGAACTCATGCATCGTTAAATACCATTATTCATATTTTAAACACTGCAATATGTTGATGAGAATAGGTATGCTGACTCAATATTTTGTTATTTTTAGCCGTTATGCCACAAAAATATTATCATAACAACATTGAACATGTGATCGTGATGTGATAGAGGCCTGTAGCTGAGCCATAAGTTTTAATCGTGTATGTGAAGTGTTTATCTCAAAGTGACCAGCTGGATTCCATTGAATTCATCATTGATTTTTTTAATATGGGAATATATTTATATTCCAAGATTATATATATATCTCTCAGCTTAGATATGAGGGCCTAATTATACACATATTTATTGATTTTAAAATCTTGTATAAGCCTAGTGAAATGTTAAACAGAACTTTATAGATTTGTTTCTCTATGTGACATGTATCGGGGAATACATTTTCAGAGAATTGTCAGTTGACTTGGATTTATCTGGTCATTTAAAATTTACCTGTGAATTAAACCTGTTAAATATAGGTAAGTGATATAACAATAATAGCTGGTAATATCTTCTGCATCTAAAGCATATACTAGAAAGTAAATGTAAAACTAGTATTCAAATATAAGAGATTTGAGAATATTGTTTTAATGCAAACTTGCCAATAACTCTCCCTATTTAGGAGGGAGACTCCCGATTTTGGACCCTTTTAGTTTTGCATTTTCAACCAGTGAATTTGCTAAACTATTCCTATACTCTAATATATAATTATTTCATTTGAGCGCACAACTCAGATATGTCATTTAAAGCGTTATTTTGTTTCTTGTGGGTGTATGTAACACATTTTTTTAGGTTTTAAGGACTTCCCACCCTTCGTAATACACATATTTTTCTTGTCGTATTTTCGTGTCGTCATTTCCGTATTGTGTATCGGGCATTCCATTACCGTGGTGTAAATTATAGTAACACCTGGTAAACAATAGTACACGTGCGTGACGATGATATGGCAACACAATATCGAGAATAATAACTTGGAAATGTGTAATCACACGTACTTCAGAAATAAAGTTTATGATACAAAGACATTAATTAACTCACGGGAAAACACTGACTTACAATCAGACGACTTCAAGAAGGTTGTATATGAGGCGCATGGAATGCAGACTAATGTGTTTTGTTTACCAACCTCACCTGTACGTATCACATGCTAATAGTAGTTCTCAAGCTCTTTGGTCGCTACGATTTTTGTTGTCAAGCGAGTTACGCTCTGTCAGATAAATTGGTTCACAGATGCAATTACAATAACTCTGTGAAAATAGTGGTTTGTAAAATATCAAGATCCCTATAAAATACAAGTGCATGTGCGTGCACGTAATAACGGCATACCATGCGATAGCCTATGGTTACATATGTACCTGACAATTGTTAATATACCATGCGTAAGCGGGCTATGGAATGATGTCCAAAGTGTACATGATTGAGAGTAATTTTGTTCCATAAAAGAACAGTAAATTGACAATTAAATATAGTAATTTAATTAATTTCCATCGTTTTTGGTATAGTAAAGAAAATAAGTGTCATTGTATAAATTCTATCCCTCTGCAAAAAGTTCCCGAATTTTTTCAAGGTAGGCAACTCTTACCAGGATCAAAATTATTGTAAAATGTAAAATAAGTTAATTATAAAGACTTTGTGTGTATTTGGTTCATTTTTTTCACACTTTTTGAATCAAACTATGTGTCCTGTTTGCTTTTATCTTGTATTTAGTAACTTTTATCCATACAATTTCAATAAAAAACGCTTTTTGTAACATGTTGTAGATATTTTATGGTAAATAAAATATTGGTAGGGTTGATTAGCAATGTTTCTTTTCATTATGTTATTGTTGCTATAGTTTTGAACAATGCCACACGCTCAAAAAATGTGAAAGTGTTGAATTTGACAAAAAAATCTATTTTTTAGTATTTTTTACAAAAAAATCCCCAGTTTATCGGAATGCTTAGATTTTCATGGTATCATCTCTACATAGTGACATAACCATTATGTGAAACTTTCATTGAATTCTGCTGGCTAATTGCGAAAGGGTGGAGTCTCCTTAATGGTCAGAATGCAGAATTTCCCCAATGGAATTTTTAAAAAGTTGGCAAGTATATGTTTATGTTTCTAATCCGAAAATGTTTTAAAATGCAAAAGAATGTACCTGCCACTGTATTTTCTGCAGAATTCGATTATTATGATTTGTTATTTTGCTCATTCCGGACAGTGTTTGTTTTTAGCTTAGAAATTGCTACTTTTTTTAGTATAATACGATATATAATATTTACATCTTACTGTATATAGGCAAAAATAGTGCTTTAATTTTTATTCTTCATAAATACAGCTTAAAAGCAATGGCTAACATTATCATTACCTAGTGTAAACAAACAGCATTTCAGCTTTCTTTGATTGACAGAAAGGTGTGTGTCCTTTGACCTGTGCCGAACTGAATCACTGAGTGTGGGCCTTGGGGTCAATTACATGTGTGTGCAATACTAAACCCATATAACTGTAGACTTTTGTTATTGTATGCCACTTAATGTCATACAATCTTCATGTAACATCTGTGTCGGGGATATGTATACTACATTAGCTTATGTCAGGTAATAGATTGGATATACAATTTGTTTAAGTTGAATGTTATTTGTAAGTTGTGCATGCTCGAAGCTTTATAATGATACAAGATACAAGAAACTTTATTTAATGTTGCATATTTTTGTGACAAACATGATAAAAAGCAAACACGAAAACAACAGACAAGATATACACTTATCACAGAAAGCTAGCATATAATCAGCGAGTAAAACATACAATAACATAGCAGCATATGATTAGATATCACAGGCACTAAAGTTAAAGTACTAAACTAAAAATGATGTAATGAGATAATAGTGAACACCTGCATATCACACAGGTGTTGCTATATATTGGAGGGTTATAAAAGCACTTCAAGTGTAATGTACATACATGCTTATATAGCAAAAGAGTAAAAATTGACATAATATACACTGATATAGTGTAAATTAAAATAAGACGACAAGGTCTAGTAAGTAAAAACATATTGAGCTATAATGATGATTAGAAGAGAGGGCTAGAAACTATGCTTCGAGTTATTGGTATATAAAAGCGCCATGCAAAGCAGAAGTTAAGCTAAATAGATAGGTAAATACGTAAATAGATAGATAAATAAATAAATAAAGCAGGTAACTAGTAATAAAGACTAAAACACTGAAAAACATTGATGATATGTACAGTTGAATCTGCTCGAAAGGCCACCTGTAAAAAGCAGTTGTCTATTATGTGAAAATTGGTGGAATCTTGATGCAGGTTTGACAGAACTATCATTTTGACCCAATTTTTATCATATACCAGTCCTGAACACAAAGCCCAGCTATTTTATGGTAGCAAAAATATGTAAGAAATTTGTAATATTAGAGTTTGACTTTATGTGCAAACAATGTGCATTGTATACATGTATTACATAACTAATGTGTGGCAACGCTTCAAGATCGACTAGTCCATTTGTAAAGCTTTGACTCATATATATAATTGTTAAATACATACATTGAATTTGTGGGTGTACAATGTTCAAGTTCATTTATCATGTTAATTAAGCTATACAGCTCATCAGTTGAGCATATGTATACAGTGCAACACGGCAGTAAATAAATAAACAACACGCAAATAAACAACAACACACATACACGACAGTAAATAAATAAACAACAACACAAATACACAACAGTAAATAAATAAACAACAACACACATACACAACAGTAAATAAATAAACAACAACACACATACACGACAGTAAATAAATAAACAACAACACATACACAACAGTAAATAAATAAACAACAACACATACACGACAGTAAATAAATAAACAACAACACACATACACGACAGTAAATAAATAAACAGCAACACATCTACATGACAGTAAATAAATAAACAGCAACACACATACACGACAGTAAATAAATAAGCAACAACACACATACAGGACAGTAAATAAATAAACAACAACACATACACGCCAGTAAATAAATAAACAACAACACACATACAGGACAGTAAATAAATAAACAACAACACATACACAACAGTAAATAAATAAACAACAACACATACACAACAGAAAATAAATAAACAACAACACATACACGACAGTAAATAAATAAACACCAACACACATACACGACAGTAAATAAATAAATAACAACACACATACACGACAGTAAATAAATAAATAACAACACACATACACGACAGTAAATAAATAAACACCAACACACATACACGACAGTAAATAAATAAATAACAACACACATACACGACAGTAAATAAATAAATAACAACACACATACACGACAGTAAATAAATAAATAACAACACACATACACGACAGTAAATAAATAAACAACAACACAAATACAAAACAGTAAATCAATAAACAACAACACACATACACGACAGTAAATAAAAAAACAGCAACACGCATACACGACAGTAAATAAATAAACAGCAACCCACATACACGACAGTAAATAAATAAACAACAACACAAATACACAACAGTAAATAAATAAACAACAACACACATACACAACAGTAAATAAATAAACAACAACACACACACGACAGTAAATAAATAAACAACAACACACATACAGGACAGTAAATAAATAAACAACAACACATACACAACAGTAAATAAATAAACAACAACCCACATACACAACAGTAAATAAATAAACAACAACACACACACGACAGTAAATAAATAAACAACAACACAAATACACAACAGTAAATAAATAAACAACAACACACACACGACAGTAAATAAATAAACAACAACACATACACAACAGTAAATAAATAAACAACAACCCACATACACGACAGTAAATAAATAAACAGCAACACACATACACGACAGTAAATAAATAAACAGCAACACACATACACACCTCTTCCTCACCTACTGTAAGCTTAGAAGTTTAGAGAGATATCTTGCACTACTAAGAAATAATAATGTACATGATAATGATATCATAACATTTTACAATAAGGACATATTATATAATATGTTACTGACAAATGTTAAACACTTAATACAGTTGAATTAATTCAATAGTATAACATTTTGTCTTTTTCTATCAGCAATTCTTATATTTGGCTTAATTAGTGTGTCGGATATAGTAAGGTTTGATAAAAACTATGATATTACATATTTCAAACTGATGAGTCTTATTGACGATATGGAAGAAATGGTTTTCTAACAGAAATGACACTAATTATGTCAAATATTGGATGCCCAGAAAAGACGATGTATGAGGCATACCCCTATCTAATTTAATACAAGCAGTGTTTAAGTCTAAAATGCTGTTCTTTGTTAAACTATTTTGCTAAATAAAATGTTTTCCCTATATACCTAGCTACCTTAACATTTTGAAAGCAAAAAGCAGAAACACATTGATCTTTTTTGTTTATTTTATTCCTGTTTCAATAAATTTGTTGATAAACAAAATGATTGGATAAAATGCACAGCTTCTGTTACAGTCCTAATCCACTCAACTCACTGTGCATATTTACAAACAATGATAGATATGTGTGTATGTTGGGATGGCAACTTGGTCTATAATGACTTATGAATACAGGCTTAAGCATACATACTAATGTATATAATAATACACAACACATATATATGGAACAAATATTTTTGCAGGTTTAAATAAAGACATTCAACCCGAAACCTAAATTCATCAAGATGAATGACGATGATTCAACCCAAGGATTCAATATGGGCGACAACTTCGCCTTCAGTGAGAAGAGCATTCGGATGGGTAGGTTCTGCTGTAGTATAGGTATCTGAAGTTTTAAATTTCTTCAGACTGCATCTCTTTAAGAAACTTTAAAAAAAAAAAACATGTATGCTGATGTATAGTACATTCAATTCTATTGTGTCGAGTGCATTCTGCCAACGTTTTTGCCAGTAATGTGATCTAATCAGATATTATTGGAAGTTAAGATGGTGTCAATTATATCAATGTGATCAGGCATATCCAAAATATCTAAGACTGGTATTTAATACTGTATTTCACACTAACGTGACACAATAAATGTGTTGAGAATACTAGGAGTATTTTTTGTATTTGTAAAATAGATAAAAATAATACATTTGCAAGCATTTTATTATTTAAAGATTGCACAAAACTATTCATGTGTGTTTTCAGGTTTCATCAGGAAGGTGTATGGAATTCTTCTGTGTCAGATCCTGGTCACAGTCCTATTTATAGTCCTGTTCCTGTATGCGTAAGTTGCCTGTCCAATTGTCTGTGAGTCTCGGGTAGCGCAGTTCGAGCGTCCGTTACGGGTTCAATGGTCCCCGGTTTAAATCCTGGTCTGGCCTTTGTACATTTATTTTCAATATTTCTTTTATTAATGAGAATGTTTCGCTGTGATTAAATTAAATATCCAGGTGAGCTGTACCGGTCATCAGCTCCTCTTTTAACTTACAATATGATTCAATTTATTTCCGTAAGTTTTACAACTTATAGGATTTTTTCAACAAATAATTTCATATAAGTACAACATATACTTACATATTACTAGCACATTAATCACAAATCAGCAGCAACAACAACATCATCGAAATCATAATTCATCGCTTTCATCATTATCATTATCATCATCATCATCGTCCTCGTCGTGGCCGTCGTCGTCGTCGTCATATAACTCATCATCATGAAATAATCATCTCTTTAAATCAACATCAAATACTACATCATCATCCGTCAAAGTACAACAACATGAAATAATTACCATTTTAACATGAATTTCATAAAACTGGTACATTTTTCACAAATCAACGATATTATTAAAATCATTACCACTTTCATCATCATCATCATCATCATCATCATCATCATCATCATCATCATCATCATCATCATCATCATCATCAACAACAACAAAAACCAACATTGAGCATTTACCATGAAAGATTGTACGAACAAAACATGGACATGATACGATTGAGTAATACAAAATTAGGTAAAACAAACTTATAAGTTAAACAATCCTTCGTTTGTTAGCTTCAATAATAAATTTACCTAACAAATTCAGTTCTTTTACATTGTGTGTATTTACTAATTCGATAAGTTTGAATACGGATGGTTTTTGCCAGTAATATTTTTTAATATATTTTCTCCTTAGATCTAGATGACGTGGGCAGGTAAATAAAAAATGAAATTCATCTTCTATCTCTATTAGTTACTGCAATATCTATTATTCCTTGCAACATTCATGTATCTTCCTGTTTCTATTGCAAGATTGTGAGCTGACATACGTAATTTGGTAATCATAATTCGACGTTGTTTTGGTATAAACTTTGTTAAATAATATTGCAACATCACGTTATCTACCATGTATCTATAGAGATCACATTTACTTGAGATGGCCAACGAGTTGAATAAAATTTGTTTTGCCTGATCATATATGCGCTGTTTAATAATAGGTAGTAGACAGATGTCGGTAGCTGCCTGCCTTAACCATATATATCCAAACCCTAGTTCTAATAATTTATGCTTTATGAATAATAACCAATTTCGTTTTGGGTTTTTCTTCCAAGTTTCTTTTAATAAAAACTGACATGCTTCTTTTAGAATACAATTTTCACAATTTAACAACTAATATTTAAACATTCGAATCATCTGATTGTTTGCCAGAGGAAGTCGTCCAAGCTCAAAATATACCATAGCATTGCACGTAGATTTTTAACACACAGTATATTTTTACAAAATTCCATATGAACCCTTTCTATTTCAACTCCTTTATAACTACCCCATATTTCACAGCCATAATATAATACACTACCCACATATGTGTCAAAGAGGTGTAGCATAGTTTTGATGTTTAAATGAATGTGTTTACATTTAGATCGTAAGGCAAAAAGTGCTTTACGACCTTGCTCTGCTACATGTTTAACCATGAAACTGAATTTGTTATTAAATCTAAACAGAACCCCCAGATAACAGAATTGATCCACAATTGAAATTTTGTTGCCATTATACACCCAGCTTTCTGATTCTCTAATAATTCCACTATTTCTGAAAACCATAATTTTGGTTTTATCGGTATTAACTGTTAATTTCCACTTATTCGAATACTCACTTAGATTGTTCAAGAGGCTTTGTAAACCTTCGATTGACTCAGAAAATAAAACTAAATCATCTGCATATAGAAGAAGAAATAAACTCAATTCCCCAAAATCATAATGGGATGCTCCATTTTCTATAAAACTATTTTCAAAGTCATTTAAAAACAAAGAAAAAAGTAACGGGGATAAAATTTCCCCTTGCATCAATCCAACATTATTAGAAAAAAAGTTCGAACATTTGCCATTAACTAAAACACAAGATTTAACTAATGAGTATAAAGACTTAATTGTAGACAAAAATTTACCTCGAACACCCAGCTTTGTTAACTTGCACCACAGGCTTACTCTATCTACGAAATCAAATGCCTTGCGGAAATCTACGAAACAACAATATAACCTCTTTCTTTCAGATAACGTTTTCGAAATTATAGTTTGCAAAGCGAAAATAGCATCCACAGTGCTTACCCCTGGACGGAATCCAAATTGTGCGTCTGTTAAAATATCATATTTAGTACAAACGTCAATCAAACGTTTGTTAAGTATGGATGTAAATAATTTGCACATACAACTAATTAGACTGATACCTCGAAAATTATTAGGATCTGTTAAAGCACCCTTTTTATGGCACAGGTACAATGATTGCTTCGGACCAGTCAACTGGAAAACATCCAGATTTTAAAATATTGTTAAATAATACATGTAAAAAAGGTAACAACAACTGTTTACATTCAATAAAACATTCATTTAACCGACCATCTGGACCATGCGACTTATTTCGTTTCAGATTATTGATCGCCGTTATAATGTCTCTAAATGAAATAGGAGTATCTCACTCATCAAACATTACATTATCATCATTCTCATTATTTATAATTTCGTTATGTCCAAAGTCAACTCCAGAATTTGCTACATTTTTGAAATGCTCAAATAATTGGTCCATTGAAACTTTAGGTGGATTCGATTTTTTCTTTGCAAACTTTTTATAAAAATATCTAGGATTATGTTTCCTCAAATACTCCATCATGTCACCCTCTACGCTAAAATATTGCTTCTTCAATTTAGATTCCAAAATTTTATATTGTTTTTTCTTTGTCATGAGCATTGCGTGATTTGTTGGATTTGCATTACTATTAAATACTCGTAAGGCAGATAAATATTTTCCATGTAAACATTTAACTTCATCATTAAACCAGGGCTTGTCATCCCTAGTCTCTACAGTCAAACATCTAACATTTTCAACATAGGTTTTCTTAGCACACTTATCATGTACAGTTTTACGAAAGAAAGGTTCCATTAATTCTTGTATTACCTTAGTGAACCTCTTTACACTGGAGTCGATGGATTCCTGATTTAATTCCCCCCTAATCAGGACATGTTCCTTAAGCTTGTCAGAATTTATATTTAATGACTCTGTGAATTGATGTTTATATTCATCATTCCATATATTTTGAGTACTTTGAGTGACATCAAAAATAAAATCCTGATTCCCTTTGATCAGATGATGGTCTTGCATGATCACTTTCTGGTGGGCAGAACCATTGTACCGGTGATTCCTTGTTACCCTATTTTCCTGTTCAGGCTGTTTATACAAAGTGTACACCTCATAGCATATTCTTTTAAAATATCAATGATGCACAATTATTGGACATAATGTAAGTTATGATGACTGAAAGTAATGTTTCATTTGTCTGAGAATTCATTATTTTACACCCATTTTCTGAATTAAGTTTCCAGATAAATAAGGGACAATTGTACATGTATAATTTGTTAGTTTACGTTTTGTTTTGTTTTTGTAGAGCACCTGTGCAGCAATTTGCAGCTGCGAACCCGTGGTTGTGGTATGTTGCCATGTAAGTCTGATTCGAAAAATCAACAATAGTCTGCATCAGTTGATCTTGGATGGGGGTTGGGGTTGCGATGTAAGAGAGAGACGTCAGAGCGTTGTTGCATTGTTAAGAAATTAGAATTATCCTCATCAAATGTATATATGTATAAAAAAATTGCTTATTTCCTGTTTCCACATAGAATAAAATAAAATGTGCTGTGAGATGCTTTAAGGTATTTAATTTTTGTGTTAAATTAATGTGAAAAAGTAGTTGTGTTGGCAAGGGGAAAAATGTGTCCTTACTCTACTTAATATCTCCTTACCTTCTGCCAGTAGCCCAACTTCCCTGATATACTTTTAAAGATTTACTTCCAAGTGTGGAAATAACTTATTATGACTTATTTGAATAGAAAATATTAAGCAATACAAAGTCAGTAGTATATCTGAAGTAATCAAAAGTATTTTGAAAATCTCCATGAAAGTCATTAAAAAAATCTCTCCATGAAAGTCATTAAAAAAAATCTTTCCATGAAAGTCATTTGAAAATCTCTCCATGAAAGTCATTTGAAAATCTCTCCATGAAAGTCATTAAAAAAATCTCTCCATGAAAGTCATTAAAAAAAATCTCCATGAAAGTCATTTGAAAATCTCTCCATGAAAGTCATTTGAAAATCTCCATGAAAGTCATTTCAAAATCACCACTAAAGTGATTGAAAATCTTCATTAATTTTATCAAACTTAATTGGAGTAAATTGGAAATTTCAATTCATGTCATCAGACTTAATCAAAGATATGGAATACGGAATGGTCGGTCGACATTTTTTTTGTAAGAATATTTTAATTTTCAGATTTAAATAGATGTATTAGGGCATGCTCAAACTTTGTGAAAATGTCCTTTGTTTTAATGAGAGGGAGAAAAATATATGTTCTGAAATATAACAGAATAAGTTATTGTTACAGTGCCAATTAATCTAACAGCTTCTTGTCAATTCACAGAGCTCTAACGTTTGTGATGATCATCACCTTGGCTTGTTGTCCAGATGTCAGACGTACATATCCTGTCAACATGGTATTACTTGCAGTTTTTGTAAGTTTAACAAATATATCTTGATATTGTAATTAAGTTAATTTGGGAAGATTTATATATCTTTTGGCATAGATAATGAAAATGATAAATTTATACAAAATTCAATTACCTTCTGATCATGAGCTTATTGTTATCTGTTCTGAGTTTGTATCTCATAAGTGAAACCACTGTTGCCATTACAAGGCTTGATGGATCAATATAGGCATTGTAAATTGAACAAAATCTTTGATCTGTTCTAACCTGGAAACATTTCTAACCCAACCCCTTTATAAAATAAACCTTTTTAAACCAGCACCTTTACAAAACACCTTTTTAAACCAGCACCTTTACAAAACATCTTTCTAAACCAGCACCTTTATAAAATAAACCTTTCTAAACCAGCCCCTTTATAAAAATAAACCTTTCTAAACCAGCACCTTTACAAAATAAACCTTTCTAAACCAGCACCTTTACAAAACACCTTTCTAAACCAGCACCTTTACAAATCACCTTTCTAAACCTGCACCTTTACAAAACACCTTTTTAAACCTGCACCCTTACAAAACACCTTTCTTAACCAGCACCTTTACAAAACACTTTTCTAAACCAGCACCTTTCTAAACCAGAACCTTTACAAAACAACTTTCTAAACCAGCACCTTTACAAATCACTTTTCTAAACCAGCACCTTTACAAAACAGAAATAAAACTTTCTTAACCAATCCATTACCAAGAAAAGAAACCATTCTAAAACAACACCTTTATAAAATAAAGACACTTTCCTAAAACAAACACCTTTACAAAACAAGGCATCATAAGTGATACAGATCCCTCACATTCATAAATTGTGACATATGTAAGAGGAAATGAAGTCACTAGAGCGATGATAATTTTTTTCTAAAAATAGTAACAGTGACCTTGACCTTCAACGTAAAAACCTGATACAAATTTTTTTTTCAAGGCATTACCATACCAAACACTTGTATGAAGTTTCATGAAATTTCATTGAGGAATGAAGTTTATAGAGCAATGTTAAAGATTTTCTAAAAACAGTAACAGTGACATTGACCTTGAACATAGAAACCCGAAACGCTACTTTGTTTAAGGCATTGCTGTACCAAACACTTGTATGAAGTTTCATCAAATTCTGTTCAGTAATGAAGTCGCTAGAGTTATGACAAAGTTTTTTTGAAAAATAGAAAAAATGAAATTGTTTTCTTAACCAACCTTTTACAAAGTAAAGACACCATTCCAAACCAAAACCTCCATAAGATAACGAAATTTTCCTAAAATAACATCTTTTCAAAATAAAGAAACCTTTCTATACCAAGTACACCTTTACTCAATAAAGAAACCTTTCTAAACCAAGTACACCTGTACTGAATAAAGAAACCTTTCTATACCAAGTACACCTTTACTGAATAAAGAAACCTTTCTATACCAAGTATACCTTTACTGAATAAAGAACCTTTCCATACCAAGTACACCTTTACTGAATAAAGAACCTTTCTAAACCAAGTACACCTTTATTGAATAAAGAAACCTTTCTATACCAAGTACACCTTTACTGAATAAAGAACCTTTCTATACCAAGTACACCTTTACTAAATAAAGAAACATTTCTATACCAAGTACACCTTTACTGAATAAAGAAACCTTTCTATACCAAGTACACCTTTACTAAATAAAAAAAACTTTTCTATACCAAGTACACCTTTACTGAATAAAGAAACCTTTCTATACCAAGTACACCTTTACTGAATAAAGAAACCTTTCTAAATCAACCCTATAACAAAATATAGAAATCTGTGTTGACCAATCCCTTATTAACAAGTAATTAAATATGTCCAAACGAACTTTATAAACAGGAAACTGGTTTAAAATGAGAATGAAACCTTTTCTAAACCAAACCCTTTATAATCTTACAACCTGTTTAAAGGAGATCTTCAATCAGACGTAGGTCTGACTGTATAAACATCTGTATGTTAGTAAATACAATAAACCTGTGTAATTTACAGCCTCTATATTCTGACCAAATATAGGACGATGTGATGGTCAGTTTAGAAGGGTTTTGTGCTATGCTGGCTTCATTCATGCTTAATTTGATAAAATTTCTGATGGTTTTATTTGACAGACAATTTGTGAAGGGTTCTTGTTGGGAGGCATTTCAGGGTAAGTAGTGTTTTGCTATCAAAGTATGACATTTTGAATTAAGAGTGAAAAATTTGTTTTGATAATTAGATTTATTAGTTTTTCTATATGTATATTTACAGTCTGTTTTGAGAGTTACTTGTAGTAATATTGAAGGACACAATCGATAACACAGAGAAAGGCTTACCGGTATATACATGAAACTAGTTCAACCACTGCTTAGGAATTTTAATAATGGTAGATTTTCAATCAAATATAATGCTAAAATATGTGTTTTGAACATTCATAATGACTACAGATTTAGAAATACTGTTATTTTTTTATTTTTTTTGTGGTTGTTTTATTTTCACTGACTGAATTCATGACCCGATCAAAATGTGTGAAAAATAAACAGGAAATTTGTTAATCTTCTGACGGAAAATGTTGCTAAGACTATTAAATGATGTTGTGGAACTGTTAAATGCTGCAGAATAAGCTATTGTGGAAAGACGGTTGTTTATGTTCACAGAACCTACAACGAAAATTCGGTGCTGATGGCTGTAGGGGTGACAGCAGTGAGTATTCTTCATGTCCCAATGAACTGCACAAAGTGCAATCTAATTGAAATGAATTAAATTTAATTGGATTGCAAAATGTGCCACTGTAGATATTTAAGGACTCTCAAGATTAACATGAGCTCAATGAAAGCATAGGTGTTTGTGGGTTACCTCACTGCACTGGTTTAGGACATATTACGATGACAGGTCTAGTTTAAGTGAATTTACTAAAATGTCACTAACAACTCCACTTCCTGAGTTTCCTAGATATGGGAAGACAGCAGAAGGCTAACCAGAGGTAAGGGGAGAAACCAAAAGGGCTAACTAGAGGTGCCAAAATATGGGAAAAAAACATAGGGCTAATCTTAGATGCCCAGATATGGGGAGAAACCATAGGGCTAACCAGGGGTGGCCAGATATTGGAAGAAACCATAGGGCTAACCAGAGGTGCCCAGATATTGGGGGGGGGGGGGGGGGGGGNACCTTTGGGCTAAACAAGGGTGGCCAAATATTGGAAGAAACCATAGGGCTAACCAGAAAGAGAGGGAGAGCGAGAAAGAGAGAGCATTATTACGGTAGTAGCCTGATTTGTAAAGATCATTGGTGTTTCTTTCACTGTGTGCTTCCTGCAAATTCAATTTAAATGTTTCTTATTTTGTAGGTCGTGACCTTTGCTCTTACCGTGTTTGCTTTCCAAACCAAGGTGAGTGAGCTGAGTTTTCTGAACTGTACCGACTGTCCCCAAAATGGCCCAAGAAACTGTCATGCAGCGCAAAGCAGTATTGTTATGCATGCAATTTTCACTTCATGATACTTAATGTCATTTTAACTGTATATAAGCTATATTGGCAGCTGATTATAGTTACATAATATTACAGTTATTTTTCTAGAATTGGATTTTGAACATATTTTGTTGACAACTCATGAAGCTGCCCAGGTTTGAAAAACCATGCCCTAACCATTCTGACATAACTCTCACAAATTACAGATGGTGTGTGTGGAAGGTATTATACAGCCTTAAGTGAACCTTTTCTCGTTCATTTCCAGATTGATTTCACTATGATGGGAGGACTCCTGTTTGTATTTCTGATTGTCCTTATCTGTTTTGGATTTCTCTGTGCCATAATTCAAAATGAGGCAAGTATCATATGACTTGATAGAGGATAATCGATATTGGTTATACCAAATTCTTACATATTGTACGCTTCAGCTGACGATTAGGTAATCAGTCTCCTGCCGAGCGACTGATTTTCTTACCTGTAGCTCACAGATGCAGGATTACTGCAGAAGAAGTGCCAGTTATATCTAGGTAGATGAGCTTGCCTTACAAGTGATGAGGCATCCCAGATACTCCAGGGGTTACCCTCACTTTCACTCTCTGCACCCATGGAATATGTCATAGCAAAATTGAAGGCATGCGACTAGCTATTTGGTTGGTTTCAGGTTAAAAAATGCAGACCAATCGCCAAGACTGAAACATAACCTTTAAAGAATAGTCGACCGACACCTGACTTCAAAGCTAGTCAGTTTTACAGTAAAACGACCGACAGATTCTTTTGATGTACATCAGAGGATCAAACTAGTCTTCTTGTCTTATCCACAAGGAGGTGCACACTGAGCCTTCAGTTTTGCTATGACATATTCCAGGGGTGTAGAGAGCGAAAGTGAGCGTAACCCCCTGAAGTATCTAGGGTGGTGATAAGGCCACCACGACATTGCCGCAATCATGTGTTACAGGGATTAACTTTGGACGATGTGTGTTCCTGTATCTTTAAACATTTATTTACTAGGCTCCCCCTATCTAGATACTGTAAAGCTGCAATTTTTTGTGGTATCGAAAGTTTGTGAAGTTGTATCCAGATCTTAAGCTATAAAAGATACTCGTTTGCAGATATTTAGTACAGAAAACTAAAACACAAAGTGAAATTTATTAGCCAGAAGTCGTGTTAGTTTTTCGCTGTTTTTTAATCATCAATCGATAAGTTTGTTTATGTTTTCTTTATTTAATCTGCCCTCCACAACAAAGTAAGCAGAGGGGGTACAATGGAAGTATGGTGTTCATCTGCCTGTCTGTCAGTCTCTAGGCAGTTTGGTGCCATGCTGCTCAAATTCTCAACCAGTTTTTAGCTCACCTGGTCCGAAGGGCCAAGTAAGCTTATGCTGTGGTGCGGCGTCCGGCATCAATATTTTACTTTGAACAACTTCTTCTTAATAACCAAAATGCCTAGGGTGTTGATATTTGGCCATAAGCAAACTGGGATGAAGGGCTACCAAGTTTTTTCAAATGAATGACCTTCACCAATATTTAAGGTCACAGGGGTCAAATATGTTAAAAACTTGAAACAACTTCTTTTGAATAACCAAAATGCCCAGGGTGATGATATTTGACCAGAGCATGCTGGGATGAAGGGCTACCAAGTTTGTTCAAATGAATGTACCAGTACCAGGATATCCTTATAGAGTGGACTCTGTCTAAACCGGACACCACTTGGACCATAATATTTGGCTGACCTTCACTCATATTCAAGGTCACAGAGGTCAATTGTCTTAAAAAACCTTTAAACAACTTCTTCTGAATAACCAAAATGCCCAGTATGGTGATATTTGGTCTTTAGCTGTCAAGGATGAAGAGCTACAAAGTTTGTTCAAATGAATGACCTTGACATGTATTTAAGGTCACATGGATCAAATATGTTCAAAAACTGTAAACGACTTCTTCTGACAAAAGACCCAGGTTGTTGATATTTGGCCAGTAGTATGCTAGGATAAAGGAGTACCAAGTTTGTTCAAATGAATGTACCAGTACCAGGATATCCTTATAGAGTGGACTCTGTCTAAACCGGACACCACTTGGACCATAATATTTGGCTGGTTTACAGAGAGTTCCGGATTGTACAGAGTCTGCTTTTAGATTATTGTTGTTGATAGAAATGAGAACAAAGAAAACGTATAGAAATGCTATGTTGTGTTTTCATTCACGAATTTGTCGGGAGTTAAGTCAATTAGCAATTATACAATATCAGAATTGGACTTTACGGTAAAATGTAGACTTGACAGGTCCAGAGGAACTGATACACAATTCAGTGTCTGACTATGGTTTACTTTTCCAGTATGCGCGGCTTGCCTACTCCTGTCTCGGAGCTCTCCTCTTCAGTGCTGTAAGTATCACTCCTGACAGATATTGGATTGTTTCATTAATTGTAATTGTTAAGATGGTTTTCCATACACACAACAGTTATTTGTATAAAATGTTGCTTTAAATCGTCGTTGTTAGGCTTGGAATGTAGTTCTTGGAATGTTTATGAACATTTAGGAAACAAACTGCTGTGAAATAGATTTAATGTATCTTTAATGTTTTATTAAATGATATTAAAATTTGTGTTATTAGGCCACACCAAATACATGATCGACCATGCATACCAAATCATTAAACATCTTTTGGGGGAAAATGAAACAAACATAATGGAGTGAGGGGTGGAACTTTTTTATTTTGAAGTTTTAGAATTGATGTTTGGCATTCCTCAGGGGCCATGTTTGGTTGTTACTCCATAAGAGTACTAGTAGTTCTGACATTTGAAATGTATTCCGTGGTCAATAACGTCGAGAATACTAGGTGTGGCTTGAGTGTACAGTACACATGTTGTTAGACTAGAGTGTCATACAAACTGTTTGCATGGAGACGTACCTCATGATGTTTTGACACAAACTTTATGTCGGAATTGCAACTTTGATACCAATAGTTAGGTTTTTTTAACTCTTCCTTGCCAATCCCAGACTTTTTTAACAGAAATCTTATTTTTGACTTGATGAAACACAACAGAACCTTTGAGTTTGTTCGTGAGTGCGGAAATCAATGAAGCAGGCCCCGGGATCTAGAAACAATCATGGACTTAGGTTATTGTTTAGCTAATCATGTATTACATCACTTTTCATGACGTAATTTGTGATTGGCTACCCAGTCAAAACTTATGACAATTTAAGACTTATCATCGTTTCATGATCTGGGGCCAGAACTTACGGACATTGCTCGGTAGACATGAAAGAAGCAGAACAAGAATACAGAAGTTGGATGGTGACTTTGTGATAATCTTTCATATTTTATCCTTCGTTGTTGAGAGTAGCTGTTTCAGTGGTTCAACGTTTAATTATATATCAGCAGTCATCACAGGGTACACACAGTCTACCATAGAACTGTAACTTAATGTTATTTTCTGATGATGGTGAATTTTGTTCAAGGTTCAAGAAGATCTTGCTAAACTTGTTAGATAAGTCTTTTTAAAGATGGAGAGGTAGGTATGCACATGTTTCCATTCTGACCCATTAACCCTTTCACCACTGTAGACCAAAATGGACTCGCCAAGATAAATGTATGGTAGAGTCTACTAAAGTTAAATGGGGTTGAAAGGGTTAAGTTCTTGGTCATTCTAAATATAAGTTGTTTATGGTCTGTATGACATTCTGTGATCTTATCTGAATAAGAATCCTTAAAGTATTGACTGAGCAGTGAACTCGTCGGCCAACATTTCTCTTTGTACACCTGCTGACGAATTGTCAATCCAGTCCTCCGCCATCTTCTCTTTGCTCATCATTGAACATTTTATTTCTGGTTTTAATAATTTCATGTACAGTGTATACAATTTTGATTATATTACTACAGACTTCAGAACCAGTCGCAATCACCAATACTCATTCCAACACATTTCTGCTTTAAAATACACTTACCAATGATCATTCTTCCCACACACAGTAACACCACCACACAGCGGTACAGCGACAAACAATTACAGTATTCCAGGTAAATATCTGATACACAGTTCTTAACTCACTAACACTCGCACCCTAATACAACAATCATTGACTGTAACACTCACACCCTAATACAACAATCATTGACTGTAACACTCACACCCTAATACAGGTCACACTCACACCCTAATACAGGTCACACTCACACCCTAATACAACAATCATTGACTGTAACACTCACACCCTAATACAACAATCATTGACTGTAACACTCACACCCTAATACAACAATCATTGACTAACATTCGCACCCTAATACAGGTCACACACTAACCCAAATACAACAGCCGTTGACTAACATTCGCACCCTGATACAAAAGACATTGACTGTAACATTCGCACCCTAATAAAAGTGACATTCACACCCTTATAATACAAATAACACTTGCACCCTTATACAACAGTCTTGACTGGCTGTTACCCACATTGTTATACAACAGCCATTGAATCTGTAAAACGGTCTATAAGTTACTTACACCTGAACACAACAGCCAACTCTTTTATCTTGTCCTTCCATCACCCTACAGTCTCATCTCATTCCTCTTTGCAAAACTTCAATCATTTCAGTAAATATCATCACTGATGAAAATAATCATAATGAAGTAGAATTACTAGTAGATTTTATGGCGGCAAATTTCTGCCATCAACTGACACAACACTTCTGTAAATGTCTTCGGATTTTGACGGAATGTGCTCAGCATCTGTAACATACAAAGATTACAGCTTTGTTCTTCGTTGAGCAAAATCCTTGCGTTATTAATTCGCATACTACTCTCTGATTGGTCAATTTATATAATTATAAACAGCAACAGCCCTTCCCCACCTTTATTTAAAAACTAAATGCAATTAAGGGCATCTATTTCAACAGTGTGAGGAGCGCTAGTTGAAATTTTGCTTTTCCTCCCATGTTCCTTGCTGTATCAGTGGCACTTATCCAAAATACATTAAACCTGTGGTATTTCAGATTACAACAGCCCATCAATTGGCTTAATCGATTTTGTGAAACTCCCAAAGATATCAACACAAGCAATCACGAAATCCTGACCTGCCATCTGTAAACTGTCCTAATAACATTATATTTTTAGCTAAGGCAAAGCAGATGAAATAATAAGTCTTTTTAAATCCTATCTTTTCTTAAAAAGATTACCAAAACCTTTGTATGTTGAAAGATTTATACTCTTAACCCTTTCACCCCTATGTAACTTTAGTAGACTCTACCATGCATTGATTTGGATGAATCCATTATGGTCTACAGTGGTGAAAAGGCTAAGTCCTGGAAAGAGTGTATTTTAGTGATATTCAAATTCTCAAAAAGAATGAAAAATATCAGATTTCATAAAAGTTTGCTAGTATTTTTCAATCAGGGAAAAGTTGTTTTATATTCAACTGGTTTTAGGGATGATAATCCTGTATAACTTATAATTATCAAATTTGGTGTGGCCTTATGGGACGATTAACTTGTTGAGATAATGACAATGCTAGTATTATTTGTCATGTCATGAACTTGTTTTATATTTACTCCACATCTGGGTGCTTCATATTTTATTACATACTTACTAATAAATACGGGGTTTTTGTATATGCGATACAACACAATTGCTCCAACCCATATCAGCCCTCTCCGTATCAGCCCGCAAAACCCGTATCAGCCCTCTTCGTATCACACCCCAAAACCTGTATCAGCCCTCTCCGTATCACACCCCAAAACCTATATCAGCCCTCGCCATATCACACCCCAAAACCCATATCAGCCCTCTCCGTATCAGCCCGCAAAACCTGTATCAGCCCTCTCCGTATCAGTCTGCAAAACCTGTATCAGCCCTCTCCGTATCAGTCCGCAAAACCTGTATCAGCCCTCTCCGTATCAGTCTGCAAAACCTGTATCAGCCCTCTCCGTATCACACCCCAAAACCTATATCAGCCCTCGCCGTATTACACCCCAAAACCTATATCAGCCCTCGCCGTATCACACCCCAAAACCCATATCAGCCCTCTCCGTATCAGCCCGCAAAACCTGTATCAGCCCTCTCCGTATCAGCCCGCAAAACTCATATCACACCCCTTTTGGAAAAATTTCATTTTTCAATATTTCAAAAGAAAAATAGATCATAAGATAGTAGCTTTTATTAGTAAGTATGTAATAAACAAAATAAAACATGCCTTTTTCGATATCACATCTAGTATCAACCCTCGACCAATATTAGCCCTCAGGCCTTCGACCCTCGGGCTGATATTGCAGTCTCGGGCTGATACTGGGTGTGATATGGAAAAAGGCATGTATTATTCTCTATGTTATAACCTATTAAAAGTATATAATACGGGGAGTGGGAGACCCAACGCCTGCACAAAGAGCTCAGTGTATACAGAGTATACATTATACCGGAATGTTTATATTTTCAAATTTGTTCTGATGACGACACCTCTAATGTGTCGAAACTAGTCGGCGTATTCTTCATTAACGCCGTTTAACCCAGCACTACGTTGTCATGGTCATCTTCACCTGTTGATAATACTATTAAAAGTCTGTTACCTGCTGTTTTTACCTGTTGTTTTTTACCTGTTCACAGTACATCGTATTCGACACCCAGATGATGATTGGCGGTAAACACAAGTATTCACTGTCCCCAGAGGAGTACATCTTTGCTGCCCTGAATCTCTACCTGGACATCGTCAACCTCTTCCTCTTCATCCTCAGCATTTTTGGCTCCAAAAACTAGACAGTCTGAATAACAACATACAGTTACATGTCAGCTGGTGTACTTCACAGAGATTTATAAAGTGGGCTAGGCCAGACTCCGTGTACAAAATCCTAGAGAAACAAAGTCAATGTTCTATGGGGGTGTTTTTCTGAATTTCAGGTGGTTTTGAAATCTCTTGGTGTAGATAAGCCAAAATAACTCCATATTTATGATGATTTAGTGAAGAATGCTATTAAACTCATGGAAGCAAAATTTGTAAAATATCTTTTGACAAGTGGTTTCTTCAGACCAGTTATTTCTGTAGACTAGTTGTTTCTTCTTACGTGTGGTTTGTATAGACCAATGGTTTCTATAGACCATTGGTTTGTATAGACAAGTGGTTTGTATAGACCAGTGGTTTCTTTAGACCAGTGGTTTGTATAGACCAGTGGTTTTTATAGACCAGTGGTTTCTTAAGACCAATGGTTTGTATAGACGGGTAGTTTCTTACGACCAAAGGTTTGTATAGACCAGTGGTTTCTTTATATAGACCAGTGGTTTGTAAAGACCAGTGGTTTCTTTAGACCAATGGTTTGTATAGACCAGTGGTTTCTTTGTATAGACCAGTGGTCGCTATGTATAGACCAGTGGTTTCTATGTATAGACCAGTGGTTTGTATAGACCAGTGGTTTCTATGTATAGACCAGTGGTTTCTATGTGTAGACCAGTGGTTTCTATGTATAGACCAGTGGTTTCAATGTATAGACCAATGGTTTCTATGTATAGACCAGTGGTTTCTATGTATAGACCAGTGGTTTCTATGTATAGACCAGTGGTTTCTATGTATAGACCAGTGGTTTCTATGTATAGACCAGTGGTTTCTATGTATAGACCAGTGGTTTCTATGTATAGACCAGTGGTTTCTATGTATAGACCAGTGGTTTCTATGTATAGACCAGTGGTTTCTATGTATAGACCAGTGGTTTCTATGTATAGACCAGTGGTTTCTATGTATAGACCAGTGGTTTCTATGTATAGACCAGTGGTTTCTATGTATAGACCAGTGGTTTCTATGTATAGACCAGTGGTTTCTATGTATAGACCAGTGGTTTCTATGTATAGACCAGTGGTTTCTATGTATAGACCAGTGGTTTCTATGTATAGACCAGTGGTTTCTATGTATAGACCAGTGGTTTCTATGTATAGACCAGTGGTTTCTATGTATAGACCAGTGGTTTCTATGTATAGACCAGTGGTTTCTATGTATAGACCAGTGGTTTCTATGTATAGACCAGTAGTTTTTATGTAAAGGCCAGTGGTTTCAATGTATAGGCCAGTGGTTTCTATGTATAGACCAGTGGTTTGTATGTATAGACCAGTGGTTTCTATGTATAGACCAGTGGTTTCTATGTATAGGCCAGTGGTTTCTATGTATAGACCAATGGTTTCTATGTATAGACCATTGGTTACTATGTATAGACCAGTGGTTTGTATAAACCAGTGGTTTCTATGTATAGACCAGTGGTTTGTATAAACCAGTGGTTTCTATAGATTAGTGGTTTGTAAAGACCAGTCGTTTGTTTATTTAATATGAGTGATGTCCTCTTTCTTGTTGTTTCTTTATACCAGTGGGGGTTTTCAAGACAGTTGTTTCCTTAGATAGGTATATAGTCTTTACTGGAAACAGAGGCAATACAAGTTTTACATATTTAGATGTTCAATATATTACATGGTGTCATTCATCCAGGTTTTAATCTGCAAATGTTTTGAAAATTTGAAATTTCATGAGGAAGTAGTTGGTGCCCTGTATTTAAATAATCCTCGTCCTCTAGTAGTATCCATGTAGCTCTTTACTTGATAGTGACATGACTAGTCCATTAGTTAGAAATAACCATGGACATCTGTCTATTCTGATGATATTTGATTACTTGACAAATCAAAATCCAGCTGATTATATAAGTTATGATCACCTGTTGTTATTTACACATAAGTTTTAATAACAATGCACTAGTCAAACTCACAACACTATGTATTGCATACACTGTTGTCTGTATGACACTAAAATCACATGTATGCACTATGCGTGTGTTCTAACGTAGATTAGTTTTATTTCCACTTTTTGAAAATAAGTCAGAAATTGCTGAGATGAGGGTTAAGGTCTCTACTTCGTTTGGCCTCTGTTCACCATAGAAAAATCACCCTTAGAAAATCATAACTTTGAGCACAAGTATGTGTTTCTGTGGTGAATTTCTGACTCAATAACCAAATATAAATTGTATCCTACATTTTTTAAATCAAAGAAATTCATATGAAAGATTTTTCAGATGTTACTAATTTCTTTAGTCAACATTCTGTTTTCATTCACCCTGATTTTGTTACTTGTGTCTTTGATTCCGTTGTTTTGTTACCCTGTTTTTGTGTTTTGTGTTTTTATACCCCCACAAACAAAGTTTAGGGGGTACATATAGGAATCACCCTGTATGTCCGTCTGTCCATGAACCTCGTGAGCTCTATCCAATTATTTGTTGGATTTTTTGTTTGTTACCTAGATGTGCATAAAGAAAGAATTTATGATTCAACTAATTTTCCAGGAGTATATGGCCCTGTAAACTTTGCCAGGGATCTTTGTGAGGTCTTGTTGCATCTTTGTGAGGTCTTGGACAGTTTCTCGTTTTTGATTCTGTTTTCTTGTCATAGATTATGTTTATTTCATCTTGATTTTGTGTGTGGAGAGTCATTTCTGCTTTATGTAACATTGATTACGATTTCTATTTACTATTTAATTGACCTTAGTTCTGATTTCTGTGACCTTGATTCTGTTTCCGGTGACCTTGATTCTGTTTCCGGTGACCTTGGTTTTGTGGTCCACCGAATTGTTTTTTGTAATCCTAATTCAGTTTTCTTTTTTCATTAATCAATGCGTTCAGGCAGATTTTACCTGATAACTGAAGACAATTAACTTTTGATATATTATTATGACTTGCATGACACACATTTCACTCCCAATGATATATAGCTCTACAGCAGATGTTTTCATACATCAGTATCGCTTTTATGGAAATTGGTTACTGTTTGGATTAGCTAGGTTCTACTGTATTGAAACTACAGCAGTTTTCTGTTTATTCATTATCGGGTGCAGGACTAAAATCCATCATTCTGAAGATTTGTCTGTTTTATGTTCATAAATGTCTGTTATTTCTTTGATGATTCATGCTTTTCACTTTTATAAAGATGCCTGATGTCAAATTTGTTGTAAAATTCTCATCATGAGGTTATGGTCGTCATCCCATACTTTCAGAAATATTTGATCACCTTTCTTGCTAAGAATCTGTGCTTGTTTATTGCAGTTAATGGCAATAAATCCTAGAGAAAATACAGAGAAATTGACAAGACCCCCATCCCTTTGGAGATTTCTAATACTGCAAAGAAAGCTACTTAACACAATTTAGGAAGAGAAAATATATTGATACGAAGGTTTTGAAAAATTATAAATACTTCAGACAAAGTAAATTATCTAATTAAATAGAAAATAATTAAATGAAATTTAGGCTTATATCACAAACAAAACATATATCCCTTTACAGCATTAAATACCCATTGAAAATAAGATTTTGAGTTTCTTTGATAAAATGAATATAAAAAAACGTAAATTTACAAAAATTGTGTATCAAAATATTACTGTCATTTTAGCTGATAAAAAAAATAAGGGATATATTATCAAAATTGATCAAACGTTTTGCAAGTAATAAATTAAAATGCATAACTACATTATTCTGATCAGTCAGTGGTTCAACTGTAAAATTCAAGACTTTTTTCTTTGAAAGAGCATGTGAAGTTTCAAGAAAATGACGGGATTACCTCCCCTTATCCTTAATTTGCCGGTAATTAAATATAGTTGCAATCATAAAAGAATGTCTTGGTAATTTTTATGTATACAAAGAATATTGTACGACTCATTCATTTTCTACGTCTTATTTTATACATCGAGTGAAACTCAACTTTAATCTTTCTACCACATGTAAAAGACACTGATATCTCTATGAATAATTTATGCTTAGTATAGTTCTAAATGTACTATTCCTACAAATAATGTATACAAGTTTGACTGGCTTCTGTTTCTTGTTTAGGCATTGAATATAAATTTAACAATTTTTTTTAAAAATATGCATTCTGCATGTATATATCTGCATAGCAGATATTTTTAACAGTTGGCACATTTTTTCCAAACCCTGATGAAATTTTTTAAATACCTATTGCCTTCAATGCATAAATTTACAAAATAAAGCCAAGTTGTTTCTTTTGCACTTCAAAATGTTCTAAAATATTGATAATGTTTATAGTGATCATATATCAAAGGGAAGTAATCCAGTAATGTCCCCCTTTTTGTTCTCCGACTAAACGTCATTCCGTTAATACGTCACTTTAACAAATAAGACAAAAACATTAATAAAGTGCAACGGGCTCGACCACGCGCGTTAGTTTATTACACAATAACTCACCTTCACCAACTACAAAACCACACATCACAAATAACCATCTCTCAAATATCTTCTCGGCGACCTCCCTTTCAAATAATCAAATTATACTTCATCTTTGTATAATATCTTTAAATTTTCCAAAAACCAGAAACTAGCAGTGTACGGGTATACCGGTGTGTGTACCCGTGTACGTGGTCTCGCTGAATGACCACCCGCACGAGCTCCACAGGTATATACACCCGAAACACTGCTCACCCCGTGACGTCACTCCGGTATCGGAGAAAACAATTTCATCCTAATTCATTCCATTCAAACGAATACAATTATATTATACTTGCATATTTTTTTATTTTTTTCAATTAATTGTATTGTCCCACAACATAATTTTTTTTTTACTTGCATAATTTGAAGGTTGTAAAAATGTTTTCTCTCCATTTTTTCTTTAAGTTTTGTTAATTAAAGTCAGTATTTTTACAGCTGAATTTGCATATCATTGAATATGATTTTAAATGCAAAGGTAATTTGCAAAAAACATTTTAGTTGGAAGCAAATGGATTTAAAATATATATTTATTGCACAATGTTTTAGAAAATGGTGGCATTTAAGAAGTGATTTGGATACTGAAGTGATGATATTTATAAAGAAATAACCCGCTATTGTATGAATTATTTCTGAATATTAACAATCAAGAAATTTTGTTACTTTGGTTGGTGTGTACAATGGAACCTCATTGATCAGGTCATAAGATTGTGAGGCAGCCAAAATTTAAAATTTCAGACTGTCAATGATGTTAATAAAATTTTCTTGGACAAACAGTCTTAGTCCTTGAGTGCGAGAGTACATATAAACAAAAGGTATATGAATGTCATCACACTTTGATACGGCAATGACGTATACACAATATATTTCTAGGTTACTGCATGTTCATGAGGCCTGGACGCTTTCATTTCCAAAAAAAATCTTTAAGTATGACATTTGTGCATTTGTTATTGAGCTGAATATTTTAAAAGAAATGTGTTCCTTCGATTATACAACATGTATATATTTACTTTGTTTTAACATGGTCTTTACATCGAGATCCAAACCCACTATCACGCTCCTAACATAATTTTCAACCGAATGAGTCGACATCTCTTTAAGTAGCAGAAGTGAGTGTGTGATGCATGGAAATGTTGTGAACACTTTTTCAATAGGTAGACTGTTAACGTCCCTTGTTACTTGTATTAGCTGGTTTTACATCATAAGACACAGATTCATTCCATGTTGTATAACTGTTTTTATTGTTGGTTCATGTAGGCATTGAATAAAAAGTCAAAAATCTTTAAAAAAAAAAAAAAAAAAAAAAAAAAAAGAGTTTTCATTTATTTTCTGTGCTGTGTAACCTGTTAAAGTTTAAACCCTCCACAATCTGTAAACTCATGTAAACCAGACCCATTTAGGTTACATTGTCTACACTTTTATGTAAACTGAACCTGTGTAATACGGAAACCTGTATGAATTAGACCTTCTACTATTTTAAGTATATTATTTCTATGTGCCCTTGACCTGTGTTTTCAGAATATCTGTATGAACAAGAGGCCAAATAGGCCTGTGTTACTTGCCTGTTAGTCAATGCTGTTATTGAACACATCTCACATCTGTGACCTTCAAAATGGAATCAGTCACATTTATTTCAACTTGCTATAAACAAAGCTAACACCACAGGCTACAGATCATCACTAGACACCTTATGGATATTAGTTGGAAGATTTTGCCTTATTTTTACTCCAGTGACCATCAAAGTTGGTGAACGTGATATAAAGAAAACCAGGTGATAGTATGTTATCCCAGGATGCAACAGACTAAATACAACCAATCCAGGCCTTAAGAACCTTAAAAAGAATTCATATTGAGTATTTAAAACCTTTGAAAACAGTGACCTTGAAAAATCATAATTTGAATAAAAAGACTTGATTGGTCCTTCATCCCAACAAGGATACAGGCAAAATATCACAATATGCCTGTGATTTTTACAGAAAAAGATTATTTTAAGATGTTCACTATGCTAACCCATTTCACCTTGAAATTGAATCTAGGCCATTAACCTGAATTTGATATCCTATCCCCAAGCAGGATACAGGCTAAACATCATGACCCTTGCATCTTGGTTACATAGAAGTTGATGAAAGTTTACTAACATTTGACCTTGGTACCTTTAAAGTCAGTCAAGGTCATTTATTTGAACAAACTTGACAAGACTTTGACAGGCATACTAAGGGCACTTCTCCCAAAATACATTTCAGTCTGTATATCATTATCATATGCCTCTCGGTTATTTGGAAGATGTTTATATTTTACCCCATGTGATCTTGAAGGAAGATCGAAGATATTTACTTCAACAAACTTGATAGCCCTCCATCTCATTTGACCTACTGGGAAATTGTAATGACTCCATAGAACTTCAGAATTTAAACATGTCAATACATTTGACCCCAATGGCCTTGAATTAATGTCAAGGTCATTTATTTGAACAGCTCTAATATCAGTATTCCATCTCATTTACCTACTGGAAAACTACCACAACCCTAGACATTCTAGAACTTGAAAAGAAGTCATTTAAAGATTTTGTACATAATTAACCACTGTGACCTTTAATGAAGGTCAAGGTAATTTATTTTAACATCTTTGAGAGCCACCTCAGTTTCTACTGATAGTCATGACCCCAGGTTTTCTGGTTCTTAAAAAGATATTTAAAATGTCGACTTTGACGAAGGATAGACTACCAACGAAGAAGGAAGACAATATATTACATTTCAGTTGCATGAGCCTTTGACTCCGGCGAGGTTGACGGCGGACCCCACACCTTGGCACATGAATCGGTGTTACACAGAAACTTTAATAAACTAGACCATGAACTGGGGCCCGATATACATAAGTTATGTAATTTGAACCTGTGTAATCAGAAAGCCCGTACAACCCAGGCCTTCAGATAGACCCCGCTGTGTACCATGATTTCTATGTTAATTGTGATGGTAAAGTTCACCACGACGAGGTCACACATGTAGGATAAGAAAAATGGGGAAATGAAGACGTAACACAAAACTCCCTGTTCAGTACATACTTGTGACCAAACACTAATGGAACTTGCCTATTGGGGTATTTTTGTATTGTTCTTTATCTTTCAGATTTTTGTCTTTTCCTATGACATGCCTTTTTGCCACAGTTTTGCTTCGGTTTTGGGCACAAGAAGTCTGTGCCTGAAGCCTTAGCAAAGTTGCTTTCGCGGGTAATATTCTTTCTTTTGGCCAAAAAGGTTCGAAAATATGTGTCTTTTTCTTTTTGTGTTTTTTATTCCAAATTTTCCTGGTCTACCTCAAACGATGTTGTTTTGCCTTCTAGCCTAAAGTTGTCAGTTCCATGTAATGCCCGTCTTGAATCAAGTATCTGCATTTGTGACACTAAGGCCATTTTTTCAACTAGCTGAGGTAATTTATGCTGTTTGAAATTGGCAACCTGTTTCAATCTGTTATTAATTGACTCTGAATTGTTGTTGGTCCAAAGAACATTGACTTTCTTTTCCCGAAGAGGTACCATGACATATGCTTTGATTTTGCATTCAAGAAACTTTTGCCAATAATGCTGAAACTGATGTCGACTATGGTATATATATAGTCTGATACTTTATTTCGAAGTTGTTTATTATCTTTTCTCCCATAACCACTTTTTCCTGATTCATTGGATAAACCTGGTAGAAGTTGGTAAACATTTTTGGTTACCCACTCATTACCCACTAGTTGGTAACACCCTTGGGGGTGGCACTATTTACCCCCAAAACACCCCAAAAAGCACCCAAAAACATCCAAAAACACCCAAAAACATCCAAACAACACTCACAAACATGAAATGTACCCAGATATTTATACTTCTGCTACCTGACATTGGGGACATGTAATGATGTATGTAATGTAATGATATTATGGTGACGCGAGTATTATTAACTATACGATTCTTTTTTTTATTTCGAGACTGATGTCGTATTCAAGAGTAATTAATATATAAGCACGGAATTAGATTGTTATCTAAGTCCGTGTTATAAGTTGTAAAAACTTGTTTCATAATTGTTGTAAAATAAATAAAATAAATAAAGTTTATATTTACTTTGCTTGTCTAGTACGTTCATAATTTCGACAAAGTAATGAATAATTTTCACTTGTTTCGTTTGCCACACGACAAGAACAGAGTGGGCTCTCTACTATATGTCATAACTAATGAAACAGAAACTTCTAAATATCTTTCAAAGAAAATACGCAATTTTCCACCTCAAAAACGTGACATTAGTCTGAAAATATATTTAGTCTATATGTAAATAAGAAAACTGAAATATGTATTTTACGTTAATAAGTATTAAATTCATATATTGTATTATGTCAGATTATGTACTTTTATCACAGAGTAAGTTCGTGCTTTTATTATCAACTATTTTGAGTAGCCCGGTTTGAATTTAAATTTTCGGGTACACAGGACTAAAATTAGACTACAGAAACGTACATTGATGACTCTATCGGGCAAATTTCTTAGCCATCAATCACCAGAGAAACGAGCCAATCATCGTTCAAGGTAAGTACCCCACTTTATCAGTGACCCCACCCTCATGTGAACTCAAAAGCTGAATGGTTATTTGGGTGACTATTGAATATTGGCGTCGCGTGCCGAGTGGACACTCTATTTTACCACGGACTTAATCTAATTCCGTGATTTTACAAACTGACATATCATTCAATATTTGTATCTCTGCGCATCATGCCGGAATTGGATTATATTGTACCTATCTAAGTCCGTGAGTTAAGTTAGGCGACTCCGGGCGCATCGTCTGTGCTGAATATAGTTACTTTATCCAATTAATATGCAAATATAAGACTATTGTAAAGAGTCTTAAAACATAGGTGGTTTTTTTAACTTTCTAGAGTTATCCGTGTCTATGTTCCACTGCTGTATGTAAAATCTATAACCGTTGCCTAACATATTTAAATGTGTACGAATCAAAATTATAATTAGATTCATCTTCTGATTTCCCAGAAGCAAGTCTCTCCCAAAACCGTTGACGATGTAAAGCTATCCTGGAATCAATCTTTAACCTTTTCTAGATTTGTTTTTACTGACCCTCTCATACACTTAAATTACTGAAATTACATCCAACGTAAATATAATGTCCAAAAAAATTGGTTATCTAGTGGAAATGTTAAACATTATCACGGACTTAGATAGCAATCTATTCCGTGAAGTTATTGATATTCGCTTCTATAGTCTATAAACAAAATATATAGTATAATAACAAATAAGAAGGTTAAATGAGCATATAACTCGGTGGATATTTAGTAATATTTCAAGCTTCCCCACTTAATTATTGTTTATCCATTTTATAACGTACATTGCATATTTAAATTATTATTTCAACATTTATCCATTCCTCTCTCCTTTATCTTAACCTTCTCCTACTTCTTCACTGTATAAAATAATGTGGAAAGGGTGAGTAAAATTCCATTTTATATAACAAATATCGATAAAACTTCTGTCATCGTGTATGGTGAAATGGCAAACGGTATAAACTTGTTTGCAGGGGAAGTAACTCAAATATGTATCCAATTAACGGGAACTATCATTACGTTACATACATGTCCCCAATGTCAGGTAGCGCAGTAGTATAAATATCTATGAATATTTAGTGTAATTGGGTGTGTTTTGGGTTTTTTGGGGGTTTTTTGGGGGGTCTTTTTGGGAAAATCGTGCTACCGCACCCTGGACGTGATTTCATTGGTCATTATTTTTTTACTTATGACGTCACGTCACAATGCTTTGCGACGTCATCTTCCTTTCTGACATCATGATTCACGGCAATTGTTTTCCCCATCAGAAGCCGGCATAGTGTATTTTCAAGGCAAACATATATGGCTTTTCAGATAAAATATACACGTTATGGGAGAAAAAGGACCCCAAACTTCTGATGGTAGGTTATCATGTTTATCTAACTCTCGTTAGTTAATTTTCAAATTGTAAAAGACACTCGGTAAACCTCGTGTCTTTATACAATTTGAAAATTAACTAACTCGAGTTAGATAAACATGATAACCAACCATCACTCGTTGGGTAACCTCTATTTCTTCATTTTGAACACAACTTCACCAACATGGGCTTACATTTAGATACAATTACAGACAACCAAATTCTGCATTCCATACTTGCTATGCAACAAGTACTACATGTACAGTATAGAAACTTGATTAGACAGCATCAAACAATATATAATTACAGTACTAACATTGCGCCTATACGTTGAACCAACATTGG